TCCACTTTTTTAGTATATTTATCTTAAAATAAAGCTTGCGGCAATTGTTATATACAATGTCTCTACGAAATATTTATGATAAATGAATACAAAAACGTTTAAATACCATGTAGAATTTATTGTGAATATATGAATATGCTTTCATCTAAGTACAGTATTGCACAGTATCTTCATTCATAAACCTGTACCATGGTGTGTAACATTTAAATATAACTTTCATGTAGGAGACATCCAAGAGTCCTAGGACTTAGTTCTTTAGCTGGCAAGGACACTACAACATGATATTACATTACCCATAAGGCATATTGAAAAGGAGGAATTAACTCATTCACCCCTAAAGACACGTTTTAACTCTTCTAATTCAAAGGTTGGAATAGTTCATTTTGAAATTTTAGGGGGAAATGAGTTAACGTCTGTTTTAAGTAAGATTATGTATCATTATAACATCTGGGAGTAATGAAGATGTGTCCCCTACATGAATACAACAATATCATTACAATGTATTAAATTACCCTCCATGCACTTTACCGGATGTTGCGAACACATTTGCTCCGAGTCAGGCAACGTTTTCAACAAATTTCAAGGCATATCTTAACAAGTATTCAATGTTTAAATCGCATAGTCGCATTACCGATACAATATTCACGAAAATGTGCATGTCTTGCGATTCGCTAACCATGAAAACCTACAAAAATTTAATTTAGACTAAAAAATACATATCACTAGTAAATAAAAACAAATCCAGCATTAAACAGAAATATCAATATCAGTTAGATGAAATTATCATTAGTATCAGCCACGGTTGACGTAAATAAAATATGCTTTCAACAGTATCAAAACACTGCTCATCTGGTAGACATTATCATTAAATTGACACCCAGCTTGGCGGCAGATTGTTTAAAAGGGATTTCTTAAAAGAGCATATACTTTTTATGTTCTTTTCGGGGAAACCTCTTGATGATGGCTAATTACCGTTAACATCTGATGTAAAAATACATCTTTGAAAAAAAGAAGCTTTCTTTTTCATTTTCCAATAATCTGTATACAACCTCTAGTGTATTGTCGCAGATGTTCAGTTAGATGTTAAGAAGTTTTCGTATACAAAAAGTTCTGTTCGTGAATTGCATTCAAAGCAATGAGCGATGATTGATGGAAATGCAACTGAAAACATTGAAGATACTGATGTGAAGTTTGGAAGTAATTTCGCTAAACTTTTATTTTGCAAATGTGCTACACTCGTGAAATTAAAAGGATGCAAATCTTTAACTACAGGAATTGATATGTATTCCATCACTTCGACAGTAAAACACAGAGTGACATTAAACAACATGACTGTTGTCCTACAAAAAGACATCAGAAAATGTCAATCACTACTGGTCTAACCTTTAATGTGGTCCCTTTCACGATCCCAAAGGAAGATGGATATTCTTTAAATATCCAATTACAATATGTTAAAATAATGGTACACATCTTGATAACCAAATATTAAAGATTTTGATCCGTTTCTTTGCATCAATTACGACATTTTTTTTACCTTTAAATGCTATGAATTCATCAAAATAGACGGCCAATCTTAAAATGTTGAGAACCAGTAAATTATATTACTACTGGTATTCAATGGGGCCTTAATTAGATCAGGACTTTCTAATTATTTTTATCATGTTTACAATATCTGGTAATGATGCATGCAAGTATTGTGCATGGTAGATATTTCAAAATTTGGTCAACTCTAGATCGCATGCAGTGTGAGGTGTATCAATCATAGCTGTGTATTTTTCCATTTCAATTGTATCAAAACAAACATAACTGATACTCTCGATTCAGTGAGATTTAAGTATCTGGTTTTAAGTTACTGCTAGTATCTTCCAGCTGCTATTTATAAATGAACCTCTGTGGAATTTGGTATTTCCCCGGAAAACTTCTTTTTCTTTTGGCAATTATTCATCATTATAAATAATTACATTTAATAGGATTTAATAGAATATTAAGGGATGCAGGCATTGCTGCCTCTATATCCACATCAATTTAATTTTAAATACATTGTGGTTAATATGAACATAAAATAAGTCTGTATATAAGACGCTGTATGTTCATACTTCAACTCAAGATTTTTTCAGAATTTGTCCAAATTTTTCTCAGAGTCAAATACATGTACTTCTGATTCAAGTTTCTAAGTGAAACTCAAAAACATTTTTTTTTTGAAAGTATTTTTTTTTCATGTTTTCATTCCGAAATGGAATCACTCTTCTGTTGCAAGGAAAAGAACATAAAAATTGGGGGCAAAAATTTGCCAAAGTCACAGAACTTACAATATGCAGTTTTTTAAGTAGTCACTTCTAATTCTAAGGAAAACAAAATTTAGCTACTAGAACATGCACCTTTTTTGATGTAATACAATTCGACATTGATCATAAATTTATTACTTTAAGACACAAATTAATATTAAACATTTTAAAATTGATTAATAATTCATTTTTTGAAAAACAGTATACCTGAAACTTTCACCCAATCAAATTTTCACCTTTTACCAGCAAAATCAATATTTGCCCTGTGTTTATTTCTCCCTAATCACATGTTATTACTATATACGGTATGCTGAATACATTACTACTATTCGTTTCCATGATAAATTTGCACTCATTAAAAAGAGGGGAAAAGGGGAAAGTTAAAACACCAGGAAAATTTCCCAGTGTGCATTATCAATATCACATTTATCAGCAAGACTTTAACATATGTCAAACTGTTTGTATAAAGTTTCAGTTAAATGAACCTGTGTGAACAAAACAAACCGTGAACAATGATCCTGTCTGTGCTGGATTTGGACAGGTATTAATGTATATGAAGTCCTTATATGGTAAACTACATATTCATATGCAGATTCCTAAGACAAAATTATTTTGAAAGACAATTGTATCACTGACAGAAATGTAATTCTCCTTAAATGTATTGGAATATACCTACTAAAGCTACTTTTTTATTTATAACTAATCTACTTTACGAACATATTGTAACATTGACAAGAAATAATACCTATTAATGCCCCATGGTGATATCTTCAAAGTCAGATAGGTGAAAATGAAAACCGATACCCAACTTCTGATGTAAAAACAGAAATGTAAATATAAACATGTTACTACCTGTTAAATTGAATAATTTCACAGAATAATCTCTTCATTTGCCTCCAAAGACATGAAGGACTGTGAAATCTAGAATTGAGGCATACATTTCCAACAAAAACATACTGACCAAGTATTGTGTCACAGATTTTAAAGTAGAATACTGATAAACAGGCAGTGTGGTCCTTTTAAAACAAACAGAACATCACGGTATTGTATCCAGTTAATAAGATTAGCATAGAACCAAAATGGGTTATCCAGCTAACAAAACCAGAACAGGATTCAAGTTTATCCAGTTATGTTAATAGCACAGGACCAAAACATATCTATGTAATACAAACTGTACAGGACACAGTTATAACAATAATATATAATCGTAAATGATACATTGTATATTTAGAAAACTTTACCGTTAAATCATTTTTTTCTCAACATTACATTTGAAAAATGACGATTTGGAATCCAAGAATCTATAGGTTAAATTCAAAAATTTGCATTTATGAAAATACTAACAGATTCATAGAAGATCTAAATGTGTTACTTACTTACTTAAGCTTTTACACAACAGAGTCTAGGGTTTTTGGTAGGGTAGTTATATTGTAGAACCAATATTAAAAACAGTTTATAATGTATTTGTGATACACAATTGATATCAGAAAGTATGTCAATATCAAGCAATAAAATCTCTCTTAAAAACACAATCAAGGTAATTAACTGGACACAATTCCCACGCACATAACATAAACTTTACTAGTGCAAACAAAAATTCTGTTTATTCTATTTTACTGACTGAATCTTTGTTATCACTTTCGACAGATACATTTCAAATGTAAAATATGTTTTCAACAATTATTTTGAAATGAAAACAAAAAGTTAAAAATGCACATTAATGACTTTGATAACACTTTAGTACTTAAACCAGCAGTTAAAGATAAAAAACCAAATGAGATGCATTTTATGTTTTTGATGAGTGTGATGCATGCTCAGTCAAATTTCCCATACAATTTTCATTCTAAATTGCTAGTCTTAGGAATGCTCTTTTATGTGTCTGTAAAATGGCAAATCATATCTGACAAAAAAGATATTTTCGTCTAGTTGGCCAAAATGTACACATCCAACTTTTTATTAATGTGCATTCATATTTCATACCTTTATTGATACTGTGTTTAAGTACATTGTGTATATACAGACAACAAGATACAATGTACTTGTTACTCTATAAACATTATCATATAAATATCATGAGACCAAACTGATGGTAGAAAATCCGCTGAATGACAAAGTAAGTAATACTTATTACTTAGGAGGTTGATTGATCTCCATTCAATCTTATCATGATTAGAAACAAAAATGTGTATTTCAAAACCATGTATGAAATAGCACTCAATTAAACAACAGATCCCAGAGGGATCTTGGCGCCCACCATTGTACCATCTTCATAAGTTCTATGTCAGTTTGATCTTTTCTTGTCTTTTCTCTTATCTGTTTAATCAAGTCATGTAAACAGTAAATGTACCGTTTCACATATTTACTAGTACAGTTCTTTAAATCCGAGAGAAATAGATCTGATCATCATAATATCAGAAAGATCTCGTAAGTACTTCCTGTGGTCATCTTGTATTATGATCACTCTCCAAAGTAAAGACACACAACTACAGACCAAAGGGAACCTACATCTCAAATTTGCGAAAGATTCCTCCAGAACTTTCGTAGAAATAGAGATAACAAACATTCACTTTCAAAATCCAAGATGGCCACCTGTTGAACATTTTGTTTATGCACAACTACAAACGAGGGGGAACCTTTACATAAAATTTGAAAAAGATTCCTTCGGAACTTCCTGAGAAATAGTGATAACAAACATTCACTGTCAAAACCCAAGACGGTCACCTGTCGGCCATTTTGTTTAGGTGATCAGACTCAAAAGTAAATATGTACAACTACAGACCAAGGGGAACCTTAATATAAAATTAGAGAAAAATTCCTCCTGTACTTTCTGAGAAACAGCGATAACAAGAACTGCCTAAGGACGGATGACGACCAACTATTGACGAAGGGTTTTTTCAGCTAAAAAGACAGATATATAAAGAATGCAAAGAATGCCTGTGTTTGTTTTACATACAAAAAGAGATGTTCAATTCACAGATTATTAAATAAAAGTAAAATAAATATTTGTTTTAAATCTCAGCTGTCATTTCAATAATGAAACTTTACATATAGTACAATATATCAAACAAAGAGTACAAGAATTACTAATGTCCTGGATAAAGCTAGCTATGTACACATATGATGATCGTCCCCAGTTGCCTAAAAACCTGCCTTTTGTGTCCTATAGATATCACGCTTTATCCGATATAAGTCATTTCTTTTTCTCTTCTGGAAAAACACTTAGCTGTCTCTTCATCAACCTCCGATTTCTCATTTTAGCAACTGCCTCAGTCACATCTGTCTGTTTCTCAAAGAATTCAACCAATGGGGGCTCTGTTAACATAGAAGCTATAAACTGTTCGAATGATATTGACCAATCAGAATCTGGTTTAGAAAATGACTGATTAGAATCTGAAGAGATGTCTGCTGTGGTCTTGGAAGAGTCGCCTGTTGAAGTATCTTCCGTGTTCTCCGAGGCTGACACAGATTCAACTCCTGAGGTCATATCATTTTCATTCTCTCCTAGAGTGTCCTCCCCGGATTTGTCTGTGTCTAGGCGTGTCCGCTGAATGTTCTGTGCAAGACGGTCAATATCCATGCCACTATCTGCACTACAGGAAAGAGGAGTGTCCGTGACAGAGCTTTCTGATGGAGAGGATTTCTTGAGGTAGAATTTCTTGCCGACCTCCCCCAGTTCTAGCAGTAGTGTTCCGACTGTGGCAATGGAGTGGTACAGATCCTGCTCCTCACTCTTATCACTAAACATGTCGTACAGGGTCTTCCAAAGCTGAATGAACTGCACCTACAATACAAAAACAAACTGCTGCTCATTAAATGTCACAAACTGATGTGTTTTCCACCTCATCATTACCAGGTAATTGTGAAGTTTAACATCACTGTTCTGGTTATCACTTAGCAGAGGATACTTTTCCAAATATTGATTTAGTCAACCTCTTATATAACTGCTAAACTGAAACATTTACTGTGTATATACTTTGAGATCTTATTTTTCAATGTTGTAGTAGAACTGCAATGAAAAGTGCAGCAAGTACACGAACAATTGAACAGACTCCAGTGAAAACATGCCGCCATACCATGCAAGTTTATATCAATGCAGCTGTTGGTAGACATTAAAGTGTAAAAGCATGTACCAAAGAAAGCTCCATGTTACAATACAACCTGTTATGAGACTTAAACATTCTAATTATTGGAGAAAATCAGGATTTCTGGTGTAGATACCAATATGCTGTGAACTGCATACATTTGTTTTAAACCCAAAACAGAATTTGGTAAAATTGGCATTCATCCTCTTGTGATTTAGCTACCTCTGTACAACAACATACCTGTGTCAGTCGTGGAACGTCCTTGAAGTCAGCTTTGCTGTCCTTCTTCTTCAGTTCTTGCCGTTTCTGGTACATTTTTCTTAGACTATCACCTATATCCGACACTGTTTAAAACAATAAGTGTCACGGTGTACAACTTGGCTATACATTCATGAAAATATCTAAACAAGCAATATAACTATTTGTACCAAGAATACACTGTATATTTTGTTTTCTACTACATACTATGTGTATTTATAAGACACGTCTGTGGACTGATAGACCATCTTATGCCCAAAGTGTTGAGACAGGACATGGTGTAGTGTGACTGCACAATGAGAACACATTTTAGCTAGTTTTACATCACCATTGACAATGCTCATTGTTTTTTATTTGTTAAATAAAATAAATATCAACTTTATTTTCACAATTAAACTTCGTACTACTCTGGGGAAAAATAAGTAACCTAACAAAATCAATTCATATTTTGGACACATCCCACTGAAACAGATCATTCAGTATTACCTTCACAATCTGCATTTTTTTCTTCTTGGATTTTAACTGGATATTTTGCTCTGTGCTTGTTATTTTTAGGTAAAGAAAATTATTTCAATAATTCTATTTTTGTATCTGATGCCAACTAAAACTTTGTGAACCAGCAATTTCAAAGCAGTTCATGAAATCTGTGTTAAAAATATCTATCATAAAACAGCCTGTCAAAGTGAAAAAAACAAGTAAAAAGACCAAATTTGGTCCTAAGATATAACCTTTTGTTGAAGAGCTGCTTTCAGAAGTCTCGCTCTGTTCATCAGGAGAGGGTGTACCAACTGATTCTGTCTGGGCTGTGGCCCCTCCTTCGATGTTCTCTGCCTCTAAAGTTGTACCTTGTCCATCGTTCGACTCTGCCTTTTCATTGGTCAAATCAGCCTGTCTGTTATCAGACTCCACCTCCTCCTCTTTGCTGGAGGCTGGTCCCTGTTCCTTTGCAGTTTCAGCCTCTTTAGCCTCGCTTGAGATACTTTGAGAATTATTTAGGTCCCTGGATGCAACGTCTCCCCCTTCTTGGTCCTTGTCTGTGGGTAGATTCTCCACCACCTCTGGGGTTAGTGAGGGGTCTCCCCTCTCCTGCTTCACATCTGTAGGTCGATTTTGCACTACCTCCTCCAGAGGGGGTGGTGATGGATCTCCTGGTAACTCAATCTCTACAGACAGAAATTATGTTATTGAATTAACTCAAACACCCCTGAAGACACATTTGAACCCTTCCAATCTAAAGGTTGGAATAGTTCATAATGAAATTTCAGAGGTTAATGAGTTAAACATTATACAAATGTTCCACACTCTGGAACCAAATGTATCTACCTACTACTTAGGTTCACACAAACAATAATTAATTCCATCCCAATGCCTATCCATCAACTATCCCTCTTTGAAAGGGATTGTCCCTATGAACCTTGATGTTAATCATTTGATCTCTCTGAAGAAGTTTGATTCAGTCTGGTCCTCCAATCTTTAAATTCTGATCAGATTTGTCCCTCTTAGGAGGCAAAAGTCTGTCCTAGAGCACAATGCCAACATTTTGTAACATATAAAGCACATAATACTGCAAATTACAAAACAAAGGGTGAAATTTTAGCTTTTTCTTCTTCTATTTCACCTTAGAGCTTTACTTTCATTGCACCACAGAACTGAAGAAATATCGCTTAAGTTTCACATGAAATGTTTTCCCTTTGAAACTTTGCTCAGAGGGACAAACTTCTCTGAGGAGGGTCTCAGAGGCTGACATGTATGCAAATTATCGTCTAAGTTTACAGTACAAGAGATTTATTAAATTGCAAAAAAAAAAAATTGAATCTACTGTCTGTCAGTTGAAAGTACTACAAACCGTCTTGTAACGCATCTCCGCTGTCAAAGAAGTCTGTGGCCTCCACTGCACTTTCTGTCGACTCTAGCATGACAGTAAAACTCTTGTAAATATATTAATGACAATGTTGCCTGCGATCACAAGTTTGGATAATTAATATGTAAAAGTAAAACTTTCATTTGTCCTTGATGCTGTATAAACAGATACACTTTAATTTTGTTGGATATTACTGATATATGACACAAAAATCAAATTCCATATATGTTGTTATTCTCTTGAATTGAAAATTGTTCTCTGGAACTGAAGTGGCATTATTACATTAAAAGATATGCATGAGGATGCTTTTTCAATCTTTGGACATTTTTTGAACAACTGGTTCATTTATTTACATTTGGAAGGTTGGTCAACTATTTTCCTTCTTAATTAGAATGGTTTACTGGTATTTTAAGTTTAAAGCTTGATATGCATGGCTTCTGGAATAAAGGGGAACTATTAATGGGAGTTCAAAGAGAAGAAAAATAATTTACCTGACCTTTCAATATGTGGTGGCAGTATATATTTTACCAGTTTCCAAACAGCTAAATTGGGTAGAAACTTATCAGTTGGATAAAGACATTATAATAGTTCTGGGAGGTGATAGTATAACATGTTATCTGGCCTTGGGAATTCTTTTCCTCGTTTAGTGGAGGTGGGTGTATGATAGACCTGATTAAGGGGAGATGCCTTAATGGGGATATAATTGATTTGACAAAGGGGGATAAGCAGAAGGTACAGCTGACTTGGAGGAAGTTGTTCATGATTTAGCTGACTTAAGGAGGTGCGCACTTGGAGAGGGTGGTTATATTACAAGGTTTAGCTGACTGAGGGGAGGTGGGTGAGAGTTTTAGCAGACTTGGAGGGGTTGGTTATATTGCATGATTTAGCTGACTAAGGGGAGGTGGGTGGGTGTTTTAGCGGACTTAGAGGGGGTGGTTATATTACATGATTTAGCTGACTGAGGGGAGGTGGGTGAGTGGTTTAGCAGACTTGTAGGGGGTGGTTATATTACATGATTTAGCTGACTAAGGGGAGGTGGGTGAGTGGTTTAGCAGACTTGGAGTGGTTGGTTATATTACATGATTTAGCTGACTAAGGGCAGGTGGGTGAGTGGTTTAGCAGACTTGGAGTGGTTGGTTATATTACATGATTTAGCTGACTGAGGGGAGGTGGGTGAGAGTTTTAGCAGACTTGGAGGTGTTGGTTATATTGCATGATTTAGCTGACTAAGGGGAGGGGGGGGGGGGGTTTAGCGGCCTTGGAGGGGGTGGTTATATTACATGATTTAGCTGACTAAGGGAGGTGGGCGGGTGTTTTGGCGGACTTGGAGGGGTTGGTTATATTACATGATTTAGCTGACTAAGGGAGGTGGGTGGGTGTTTTAGCGGACTTGGAGGGGTTGGTTATATTACATTATTTAGCTGACTGAGGGGAAGTGGGTGGATGGTTTAGCGGACTTGGAGGGGGTGGTTATATTTCATGATTTAACTGACTAAGGGGAGGTGGGTGGATGGTTTATCGGACGTGGAGGGGGTGGTTATATTACATGATTTAGCTGACTAAGGGGAGGTGGGTGGGTGTTTTAGCTGATATAAGGAAGTGATTGTATATTTACCTGCCTTTGGAGAGGTGGGTATGTCCGAATTGTCTAGGTCATCCAATGGCAGTAGAGCTGGGGGTTGATGGCACTGGTACAGTAGCTTTACCCTGTGGGTTAGGTCCCCGTGGCAGATCACCCCCAACAGGTGTACAAACTCCTTAAAGTTGATCATGTTGTCTCCATTCTCATCGAGATACTGAATAAAAACAATAACATATACTGCAAAAGAACATTGAATATAATCTTCAGAATTAATTTTTTGTTGTCTCGCGATGGTATGTAGTTTGACAATGATTTTTTTTCCAGTTTTGCTAGGGCCCCTTTCATGTATCCTGTTCAACCAGTTTAATTTGTCTGTTTTTAAATGTAACATTTTCAGGTATAACATTTTCAGGTATAAATCCTGGTGGACCTACAAGTGTTTATTTAGGCTTTGCAAGGCTTTGTCAAGGCTTGTCTGAAAGCAGCATCAGATTACTAAGTCCGACCTTATATCATAAACAAACAACTCTGGTCCAACTGGTTTTACCATTTGGATGGGGATAAACGAATGCGGCCTAGATTTAAGAAAAAAATAATGAAGTATATTTTAACCGATAATTCTTGGTGAGCAATAAACTCATTCCATCAGCTTACTCACCCTGAAGGCCCTAAGAGCCAGCACATGTCCATGTGATCCCGTTGCCCAAGGTGCTAGTGAGAGGAACATGGTCTTGAACTGATCAAAATCCACCTTGTAGAGTTCATAGTAAGGCCGTGAAGGGTCATACTTGTCTGGAGTATCTACAGGCTGCTGGCTGGTTCTCCAATAACAAGATGTCAGGTACTCCTCCTAAAGGTCAGGGGTTTCAGGTCAGAGGTCAAATGAAATCAACCATGCCTTCTAGTTATTATTTTCATTACAAAATGACAAATTTTAAGAACAGATACTGTGTTGTATTAAAGATAAAGGCAGGGGAACATCTTAAGTTCCGGACATCATACTGAATGTTGTACTTCAAACTTCTGGTCAATCTTTTTTCACCTTGGATTAGGGCCAGTGTGCAGTGAAATACTGTAAATATTTGTGTTGTTTTCAATAAATCTTTGATATGATCATTATACAGAACCTTACCTTGAACAGGATGAACAGGTCCTCCAGTTCCTTGCCCTTAAATAAGGTATGTGAGGCAACACTCCGCAGGACATTTTTCTTGGTATGGTCTTCAATATTCTACGACAAACAACATGCAGAATATTTTTATTCTGTGAAACTAGAGGATATTACATCCATCTAAAACAAATTACCATCACAGTATCAACCTTACTTAGGCATACATCTATTTTAAGGATTCCTGTCACACTACATTTATGTTTTCCAATAAACAGTAACCTCTCCATAACTTCCATTTGGTTATAACTGTAGTTCAGCTGGATCAGGACACTCCCGTTGACCAGACAGCTCAATGGTTAGAGCAATAGTATAACAACCTGAAGTCCGGGGTTCGAATCCTGGTCTGGCCCTGATGAATTTTTACACTCAGAAATGATTTAACAAAGCTATTGTCGCCAGAAATAATAGTTTTCAATACCAAGTTACAGTTTTGGGCAGTGGTATTGGGATCCGTAAATATCTAAATAAATATTTCAAGTATATACTGTAAGACTAAAAATATTATCACCATTAAGTAAAATTGTGTAATATCATGAGGACATGTCAAAGTGGTCGGAACCATGAATTAAACAGTTGTGATGAAAATACAGTGAACCTGTCTAATCTGACACCCCTTTGACACAACATACTGGTCAGAGAAGACAGGAAGTTGGAAAACACATGTCTAAATGGGTAGTGTTCATTAGAAATAGAATGTCACCATTATGATGGATTAGACAGGATGTCCAAGTTTTCAGGTGCTAGATTAGACAGGATGTCGAAGAACTCAGGGTTAAGATTAGGCCAAAAAAAAAAAGATTACTTGATTCACAGGCCCGTGCGCATTTCATAGCACCGTGCGCATTGCCGATTTTATCGTGAAAGTAATAAAAAAAAAATCGTGAATGCACCAGCCGCCATCTTTAAAAAAATCAGGAAAATTGGTCTGCATGTCGTTTCAACTCGTTTGTCACCCAAGTCCCGAAAACGTTTGAATAAAGTTAAGGATAGTGTTTAGATAGGACATGATTTTGAAGTACTAAGGGTTTAGGTAAGACAGGATGTTGTATAACTCAGGGTTTAGATTAGACAGGATGTCAAAGTACTCACGGTTAAGATTAGATAGGATGTTGAAGTACTCAAGGTTCATATTAGACAGGATGTCAAAGTACTCAGGGTTTATATTCGACAGGATATCAAAGTACTCATGGTTCATATTAGACAGGATGTCAAAGTACTCAGGGTTCATATTAGACAGGATGTCAAAGTACTCAGGATTTAGATAAGACAGGATGTCACAGTACTCAGGGTTTAGATTAGATAGGATGTTGAAGTACTCAGGGTTTATATTAGACAGGATGTAGAAGTACTCAGGGTTTAGATTAGATAGGATGTTGTAGTACTCAGGGTTTAGATAAGATAGGATGTCAGGATTTAGATTAACCAAAGATGTTGCATAACTCAGGGTTTAGATAAGACAGGATATTGAAGTTCTCAAGGTTTAGAATAGACAAGATGTTGTATAACTCAGGGTTTAGATTAGACAGCATGTCAAAGTATTCAGGATTTAGAGAAACCAGGATGATGTATAACTCAAGGTTTAGATTAGACAGGATGTTGAAGTACTCAGGATTTAGATTAGACAGGATGTTGAAGTACTCAGGGTTTAGATTAGACAGGATGTTGAAGTACTCAGGGTTTAGATAAGACAGGATGTCGAAGTACAATAGACACATTTCATGGTACAATAAAATAGCCCAGGTGTCTTGACAGTAGTAAAACCATCAGAACATGATATTGAATGACAGTGATTTTTCAACTGGATTATTATACAAAACTGAACTGAAATAATGACACATCTCCCATTCCTGTGTGAATATTATATAACTGTCCAGGGCAAGAAAGGAATGAAAGAAATTTCTTATCTTACACCACATTTCATTTGCATGACGTCATAATGGGATAACAATGGCCTGATGTCACGTACTTAAAGCAACATTAAATGCTGCGGTGCAGCACTTGTGATGCTTTATGGTAGTTTTTTTAGCTAATTTTAGGGACAGGAATGAGAGAAATAATACCTTTCATGCCCAGGGGTGTGAAATAACACACTATGCTGGCTTACCTGTACAACCTGCAAACGGTACTTGAGTCGGAGTTTATCAATATCCTGGTTATTGAGGTGGCCGAAGTTGCGATAACTCTCGTCGATAAGCTCACTGACATCAACAGAGGGCTGTACAAACGGAGACCAGTGTTATAAGGTGTTATAACAGATGCACCAGTCACAACATATATGACAATACAAAACGTTTTACAAATAAGAATCAAGAATGCAAGGTATATACAGGGTTATTGAAAGACAATTCATGGCATCTTTTTGACTCTCTAAAAAGAGCCTTGACTTTTGGGTTTGAAAGAACAGGTCTATTTGACATGTGTTCAGACCCTCCAAACATCAGGGATTTTTTTTAATTTTATTTATCATTGTTAAATGTCAAGGTTAAACTGAAAGCTCTGAATTATATCTTAAAACAAATTTATTTTCTTTTTAAACTTGTACTATCTCTTAAAATTTCATTTAAAATGTGTTTTAAACTCTGTTAAGAACATCAGAAAATAGAAATATTTGACACAGGGACTTATAACAGTGTCAATGTGAACTCAGACACACATACTTCCTTCTTGACGCCGTTCGTACAGAGCATGTTGGTGTGGATGATGTTTGGCATGGTTGAGTCGCGGTTGGATATATTCTCCAGGTAAGCTCCGAGGATGGTCATTGCTTCACCATCGTCCCTGGCCGCCAGTAACTCCACTTTTTTGGTGTCGAGTATAGTCAGCGCTACTTGAAAGATCACCTGTTGAAATTGTCACAGTCTCATGGTTAATAGCATGATGACTTTGTTAAGACAAATCCCTTACTTGAGGAATAATTTATCAAGGATTGTAAATTTTTCACATATAGTAAAACCTCAATGTAATGCCCCTCGTTTCATTTGGCACCTCACATACCGCCAACATATTTCAAGGTCTCTTTTTCTCCCATTCATTAGAATTCCTTTATAAATTTCCCTCAAATTATCACCAAATTCCTTTATAACAACATTTCGTTGGACAAATGATGACAGTATAACAAGGTTTTACTGTGTTCGTAACGATCTAAATAAAAACTTATGCAGTGTGCCTTTGAGTATAAATGAGTGGGGAAGAAAGTCAATTTTCAAAACATGTATTGATATAAGCTCAGAAGCAGCAGCTCAGGAAGGCCGGAGGACTTACTCGAGCACCGTCGTAGAAGAAGCAGTCTATTATGTTAACTGCACAGCTGAAAGGCATTACACTGAAACAAAGATATCAAAGTTCAAAGCTGATACAGATACAGACGAGTCCACCTAAATGTCTACCTCATACAGTTCTTTTCATAAAGATCAAAGATCAGGAATCAAATTGACATCTTCAACAATATTATTTTAAAATAATTTGAAGTAAAATTTATCAATCATTGCCTTAAATAAAGACCACTCCAGAACTGATCTCTATTTTAAAAATATAAATTTGATATTAATATTTGATTTATAAATCTTACACTGTAAAATTATGACATGATAAGTAACAGGTTAAACTGATTAGCTTAATGTATTTCTGAATCAGCAATTGAAACTAACAACTGTTGTTTTAAACTATTTCACAGCATTAATAGCTATAAGAGTACCTCAGAAATATAGTTAGGAACCAGGACAGGGAAATCATACTGAGTAGTCCCAGGGTCTCCAACTTCTGGTACAGGCTTGGCAGATTATCCTTAATCAGCTCCTCAAAGACACCTATGAATAAACACCATGTATTCAAGTAAATCTGTTTGAAATAAATTATTTGCAGTTCAGTTGTCTGATATCTAGTAACCACCGAAAGTCAATTTGTCTGATAGCTAAAGTAACCAACACCAGTTCAACTGTTTAGTATGTAATTAGCACCAAGCATTCAAGTAGAAAAAATTGATATCTAGCCACCACCCCCAGTGCTGTTGTCTTAAATCAAGTCACCAGTACTATGCATTACAGATTATCTTATATCTAGTCACCACCTCAGATATCTAGTCACCACCTCAGATATCTAGTCCTCACCTCAGATATCTAGTCACCACCTCAGATATCTAGTCCCCACCTCAGTTATCTAGTCACCATCTCAGATATCTAGTCCCCACCTCAGATATCAGCTCAGCTGCTTATCAGCAGCAACCAGCATTTAAGTTATCTTATATCTAATAACCACTAGTCTAATTTGCCTGATTTCTAGTAACCATCAGTCTTATTGAAGGATATCCGGGCAAACCGTTATTTCTTTTTCTATATAAAGTTACCCTGGCTTGTGATCAATCTGTATTACGATACAGCTACATTTAACAGTGGATGAAGGTCATAGACTAACAGGGCTGCAATGTAATTGTACATTTTAAGGACCCAAACAACATAATTTAATCATCCAGAATATTGTAACAGATATATGTACATCCCCTGACTAATAAAATACATGGACGTCTCCCGATATGACCGAGAGTCTTCCAGTTTCGAAAATCAAAGCAGCCATCTCTTGTTTCTCCAGTTTTTCACTACCCCTTTTGTCGCTTCAAACTTGAGATGATTGTAATGCTGCAGGGCAAAACCTGTCTCCACTGAAGCACCAACACAACTAATTGGCCAAGCTAAGGAGATTAACAAGCTAACCAGACCAGCAGTGACCACTTGTGTTGTTACAGTAATATAATGTAAGTGTTTCAAACGCTTTCTTATCTCAATCGCCATGATGTCTTGAAAATTCTCTCTACTTAAAATCCAATCTCCCTACTTCAAAACGTAAAACTCCCTACATTGTGTTCCAAAGTCATCACATGTATGATAAAACTCCAGTTCAACTTAGCCAAAAACTTTAAAAAAAAAAAAAAAAAAAAGGTGTGTCGAATAATGAAACAAACATCACAGACAATATTAAAAACATCACAGACAATATTAAATCAATTTCCAAACCATATTGACAAGACAATCACCTATGTATTGATTTACTTCATATGATAATTACATTTTGTATATATAATCAGCACTGCATTTGTATCGCCAAAACTACTAAACTACTGCTGAATCCATAGGACTGAGGTAGAGTGACTACTTACTCTGGTCTATGAGAGCCCCCACCACTTTGGTATTGTAGTAGTCAGGCAGTAGTCTCTCACATATCGCAGTCAGAAGCCAGAAGGCCTCCTCCTCGTCAGTGTAAAGTAGCAACACGCTGGTCACAATGTTCATCGCCTGACAGTAGCCTGCAACACCCACAAAAATATTCCAATTCCAATTCAGAATGCCCTGAAATAAATCTATTAATCATAAACAAATAACAGCATGAACATTCCTGTCACACTGTTAGGAAAATCGGGAACCAATCATGGTGCAATGTTGAATTTTAATTAGGACGGAAATTCCTGAATGATATCTAACTGACTTTTGTACTCTCACAGAACTGGCAACATAGAAAGCATGACTTTGTATGACTTTGTTCCCACAAAATTGGTCACTCCACTATTTTGTAAAATAGTTCATTTACCACCCAAAATGAAGAAAATAAAATGTGAAATTTGTATAGAAATACTAAGAATCTCAACATAAATATTAAAAGATGCTTTCCAATCCAGAATTTTTTATTCATTAAGAAATGAATAAGGGAGGCCAAAAACAATATTGCGAATTTCTATGATGCATTATACCGATTTCAATGTCAAATTTCAACCAATGAATTAATCATTTTAACTAACTGTATATAATTATGATAATCAAAACATAAATATATACTATACCTATAGTAGGGTTTCTCCAGGCATAGGCTGTTAGTACCCTTCTGAGAGCCCCGATCCCAAGGTCCGACTGGAATGCTGGGTGTTCTGGTAATGACCTATTTAAAGAATAAAATAATTGTATTTTATATCTCATCTTACACACAATTCAACATGGGTTCAATCAAGAAACTTTTTTATAATCAAATTATGATTTCAATCACTTGTTTGCTATCATATTACTATTATTGAACAGGAGAACAAGACTACTGTTCATGCATCCTTCAGCCTATATTAATTTTAGTTTTGGGAGTGAAAATTAACGGTCGCTTGTCGCATAAGACAAGTGGTCGCTTAATGTATAACATTAATTTGAATTTCATTGGGAGGAAATGTTTAGGTCCTATATGACAGAAAGTCGCTGAATACAGAGGGTCGTTAAGGCAGATTTGACTGTACTAGCTATGAAATCAGATATTTTGGTGGGGCCCGAATTTTGTGGTTTCTTGACAAAACACCATTTTGTAGTTACATGAATTTGTGAATGAAGATTACCCATAAAAGCAATGAAATTAATACCCCCAGGAAAATTAGTGATTTCACAGTATGCACAAAACATGAGTAATATAAATACCAAAGCTACAGAAAAGTCTCTGAATATGTTTCCTTACCTGTGCAAATCTCTTTCAATTTCATCTGTAGCCAATGTGTATTTACCAGAGCTCTCCTCCACCACTCTTCTGTAGTAACCGGGGTGACATGCTTTCTACAACACAGCACACACACACACATGTATCATCAAGTTGATGTGTGAGAAGCAGCGTATCAAGAAAGGCCTTTATTGAAACTAGATAAACTGATTTTGGTTGGAATTTCGGTCTAGCCTCGCTGAATTTTTACACTCAAAACATTGTTGTTGAATATATTTTGTTTAATTCATCTTTATTGTTTCTCATAAAAGTCGCATAAGGTATGGATTTCTTTTCAGGAATGATTTATCAAAGCTATAGTTATGCAAGAAAAAACGGTTTTCAACACTTCATTACAGTTTTTGGCAGTGGAACAGGTATCCATAATATCATTTATATATAGTTACAGTGTTTGACAATGGTACAGGGATCCTTAATATAATTCATATATAGTTACAGTATTTGACAGTGGTACGGGGATCCTTAATATTATTTATATATAGTTACAGTATTTGATAGTGGTACGGGGATCCATAATATTATTCATATATAGTTACAGTATTTGATAGTGGTAAGGGGATCCATAATATTATTTATATATAGTTACAGTGTTTGACAGTGGTACGGGGATTCTTAATATTATTTATATATAGTTACAGTATTTGATAGTGGTAAGGGGATCCATAATATTATTTATATATAGTTACGGTATTTGCTAGTGGTAAGGGGATCCTTGATATTATTTGTATATAGTTACAGTATTTGATAGTGGTAAGGGTTTCCATAATATTATTTATATATAGTTACAGTATTTGATAGTGGTAAGGGGATCCTTGATATTATTTATATATAGTTACAGTATTTGATAGTGGTAAGGGGATTCATAATATTATTTATATATAGTTACAGTATTTGATAGTGGTAAGAGGATCCATAATATTATTTATATATAGTTACAGTATTTGATAGTGGTAAGGGGATCCATAATATTATTTATATATAGTTACAGTATTTGATAGTTGTACGGGGATCCATAATATTATTTATATATAGTTACAGTATTTGATAGTGGTAAGGGGATCCTTGATATTATCTATATATAGTTACAGTATTTGGCAGTGGTACAGGTTTTCTTGAAATTATTTATATATAGTTACAGTATTTGACAGTGGTACGGGGATCCTTAATATGATTTACACACAGTTAGTCTTTGGCAGCGGTACAGGGATCCTTAATATTATCTATATATAGTTACAGTGTTTGACAGTGGTTAGGGATCCTTGATATTATCTATATATAGTTACAGTATTTGGCAGTGGTAAGGGTTTCCTTAATATTATTTCTTACAAGAAAATTTGGATAAGGTGGTTATACGTGTACACTAAATACCTCGTTGATGGCTCCTGAGAATAGCATCCACACCTCACCACGGTACTTCTCTGGGAGGCCTTTCAGTATAAGATCTAATGACGACACTGTCCGGTACATACACACTCCTCTGTAAATAGCAACTATATGGTATAATCCAAATTTCAGAAAAAACACATATGACAAGGAATATAAATTGTTCTATAAATTTCATCATTCAGCTGATGAAAGGACATATTGAACCAAAACTCCATGACTGCATCTCATTTTACAGAACTGCTGTATACCAGGAAACTTTTGCTCAGTCAAACTTTCGCCCTATTCCGTTAAAATCAATATTTGCCCATATATTCGTCCTTCATATTTGACTATTATGTGTACATATTATTGTTACGAAGGTTTGTTCTGAAGAAATTTGCCCTTATTGCAAGGGGAGGGGGGGAAGGAAAGGCAAAAACTAAACCACGGCAAAAAATGTCTGGTATACAGTATTGCAGTTCTAAATCTATACAAAATTTTCAAAGTAAAGAATGATATCTTTCCATGTACAAGCTTTCATGATGGAAAATCATTCCTGACAAAATCTAACCTGCCATATTCATTAAAGTGGATGTTCCAGAGGTGCTCCTTGACCATTTCCCTAGACGACAGCTCGTCCGAGTCACGTCGACAGAAGAGACTGACCAGGGCTGGCTGCAACTCAAAACTTGAGCCAGATTTCTCTGTCGACTCAGTGGAGATGGCTTCTTCTGACTTCGTTCTGGGCTTCGATAAACTGTAAATAAATATAGCATTACTGAATTACAAAATAACTCGCCTGAAAAATCACAATTGCAGAACTTCCATATCTTCTATGATTGTTGGGAAATTTCATGGATGTGTCATTTGAGGGATGGAACTAAGAATACACATACATGTATTTTACATTTGTCTGATGTGTTCTTAGTGTGAAAAAGACATCGCTGTGTGTGACCCAGAATTGAACCCTGAACTTCAGACTGCTAAACTGTTGCTCCAACCGAATGAGGCTACCTGGTCGACGGAAGCGCCCTGGCCCATCACTGCTCTACAGTTATATTCAAATGGAAATTAAGGGGAGGTATACATGTCAAAACTACAGTACAGCGGGACAGGGATCCCTAAATGATATTGTTTACAACTAATCCATGTGATTGGAGATTTAGATTTATCATTGGCCAAGTCTTACCTTTCACTGGTACCATGCTGCTGCTTCGCCAAGAAATCAGAAATCTTCTCCAAGATGAAATCTCGATCTCCAAGTTGTGTAAACATTAAATTCAGCTGTTGATTATTATGAAAAGATGAAAAATGTACAAAATCAATTTGCACAATAACAAATTTATCATATAATAATTCAGAGTATGTTAATTTGAAAAAGTCTTTGAATTAATTTGCTCAAGATTTTACCTTAAGAAAATGAAAAGTATATTTAGGTCATTTAAACACTTTTACTTCTATGAGCTGTGAAAATGCAATACATTTTACAATTTTGTCCTTAGAGTAGATAATGTTTTTTCTTAAATTACCAGGTTGTGACTTAATTACTAAGGTTAAAACAGTATCATTATAAGATGATATTTTTGTTGTACTTTGTTCTTTATTAGCCAAAAGCCCTTAGGCTTATAGGTACATACATATATGCATATAACATTCTCTTAACATAATTAGAATAGACAGGAGAGTGACATCACAGTATACATAAAACACCGTTCAATAATGTGCATATAACAATACTTAATTAACAATTATTTTTTAAATATGTTTTTCAGTTTTCAATGCATCAATAAACTGATATCAGTCAGTCCTCGATGCAGTGGGTGAGGGTGGGATGGTGGTTTAGGATTTACCGTATACAGGGAATTTTTTGTCGCAAATTATTTTTTGCCTTTTTTCGCCCTTCGCTATAATGGCAAAATTATCATTACAGCGAATATAAATTTAAATAAACAACATAAAATATTCATAGTTTATGACTTAATTTCAGAGGCGGAGGGTAAAAGTTTGACTGCGCAGAAGCTTCCTGGTATACAGTATGTTAAGAATATTCTAACAATAACTATTTTTACATCAAAATTATATTACAAATCCTCTTTAATTAACTGAAGTTTTTTATGGTTTCTGCAATTTTAATTTCAAAAATAATCTCAATTACATTCATACTATAGGCATACATATAGCGCAGACAGAATAACTCCTTTGCAGATTATAACAGTATTATGAATATTGTTGCCACGGTAGTAGTGTACTGACCTTGCCCTTGGTGGTGATGATAAGGCCTTTCTGGTTGATGTCAGCCGATGCAGAGTTGTCTACCTTTTCCACCAATTGAATCTCGCGTGTTGGCATGACAATACTGACCAGATCACGCACCTGTACAGAAAAAGAATATCAAACAGTATACCTGTGAGTACTGCAGTGTATTTATTTCATAAGTGGTGATAAATACAATCTATTAGTTTACATATAAATAGTACAAGTACAAGAGTGAAATATATATAACAGTAGCCTAACCAAGATGGACAGATGGACTTTATGCAATCTTCAGTAATGTTGAGAAAGTATAAAAAAAAGTCCTCATAGGTATAAACGATTGCTTATAAGCAATTTCATTTCAGTTAGTACATCATGGTAACTGTTTACATGTTAATTCACAAACTATATATATAGCTACTTCATATTGTTGTATGTCTTTACACAAAAGTAGTAATTATGTTTAATATGCCTACCCTGCTAGCAAAACAGATGTAGTTCTGAGACAGGTAGAGTCTACCCCAAACATTCTGTTTGTTATACGGCGTCCACAACATACAGTCAGTATCCCCATCCAGTTTTTCTACCAGCGGCAAACGGAATGCCAACCTGAACAACAAAAAATGTACAGGTGTTTTGAAAACTCTTTCACAGAGAATACATATACTACAGCAGAACCTATTTTTCATCCAGACTGTGGGTATCAGAGAAGTTCAGAAACTGAACAACTTTATGTAAATTTCACTATAAATCTAGAACAATGTTATTGTAAATCAGTCAATTTCCGCCATAACCTATTTCCAATTGTTTGCTTGTTACTCTTTCAATTTACATTGAGTGATATTATTTAGATGATAACCTTACATTAGAGGTGGATTGGTTTGCTGTCACGAAAAATGTTGTGGCTTGATGAAAAGGGAGGTAGTGCAAGAGATGTTTTACTGTTGAGGATCCTTCCTACTGCACTGTGGTTTTCGTATATACAGTTACCTCCCTTTAACTCCGTTTTGATACAACTGTAGCACAGTTGGGCCAGGACACTCATGAAGGGACCCAGTGTTTGAATCTCTGTTAAACCTTTTTTCACTCAGAACACTGTTGTTGATTACAGTATATGTTGTTTTATTTTCATCTTTATTTGTTCTTGTGAAAATACCGCAAGGTATGGTTTTATTTTCAGAAATGATTTATCAAAGCTACAGTCATGCCAGAAAAACAGTTTCCAACACTTAGTTACAAATATTGGCAGTGGTATAGGGATCCTAAAGTGTTGCAGTAGAGTACATTAATAACAGACAAACCTGAAGGCATCACTCCTAGCTCTGGCATCCAAATCTCTCTTAATAGACGACATCTTCTTCGATGTCTTTTTTCTGAAGAATGCAACTCATATTTATTTTCCTTTGTTTTCTGAACAATGCAACCCATATTTATGACTTTTTCCATTTAGAACTTGCTGAAGATAAATGTTTTCATTTCAGTAAATTTTATTGAAAAATCAAAAGGATTGGACAACAGGCTTAGCCTGTATTAGTCCTCTCCAAAGATAAATATAGGAGATAGAATTTCTCCTTTTGTGGCCCTTGCAACTCAATATAAATTCTTCCTCCTATCTCCACTATATTTTCTGTTATTTCCTTTACAATCACTTGTATGTTATTCTAAAATAACATATATACTGTACCCACCCAATCCATATCTTCATATTTGGAAAGTCCTTACTTTAAGTACTATTTATGTTTAAATAATATTTTATACATGTATTAAAGAAGTTTGAATAATAAAGATTTTTTACCACCATTGTATTTCTTCAATCTCCATACATATTAGCTTACTTCAACATCAGAAAGGACTTACTTTGTTCTGTCTACAATAGTCTTGTCTTCCTCAAAGCCACCCTCCTGCATCAACCTGGAATTGAAAACAGTTCAAATCAGTCTATCAAATTTATTGTTAAAATACAGGAAATTGTGTTATATGTAGGTAGTAAGGAAGGAGGCTAATGAAACAAATAACATTAAAATGTGGAACTTTCAAACTATGTATTTTCTTAATTTTTCCTGTTTTTCTTCGCATTAGATAAATTTCTGCTTTCTGTAAAGAAAGTAACTAGATGTAATTATAAATCTTTAGTACGTTTCAATATAATCTGAATCTGATATTTAATAGAGCAAATTTCCACAACTATCAGGATATACCGAGCATGAATACACACTTGAGTTTATGATCTCTAGTCTACTGCATGTACATTTCAAGAGATAATTTATTGATAAATGCAAATATAAGTGAAATTGTTAAATGATTGATTGATTGATTGATAAGTTTTATGTCCGCTTCACTACCGAGGTAAATTGTTAAATTTAAAGGCACTTGTTATATAAATCACTCACTGCTTCATAGCCATATTAGCCAGCTGTTCCATCAATCGGAATGTCTCCCCACTTTGTAGAAGCATAGAAAAGTAGTACTGAAACGAAATGTTTTTAATAGAAAAATTACAAAATTCATTAATCAAATTTAGGTGAAGGGGATAACGCTTTATACCATGAAACTTTCGCCTAAATATTTGCCATTCAGAAATCAAATTCTGATTCCCCAGTGTTAATTTCGCCCTCCACATGTAATTACTATATATATTTTATACTGTACATGTGTACTTAATTTAGTGTGATGATTAATTTGCCCCCATGGTGGAGAGTGAAAAAGGCGAAAATTAAACTGTGCTGCGAAAATCTCCTGGTATACAGTACATTCATCAAGGTGTTTGGGTTATCCTTATAGTTCAAATGAAGACTTAAACTTCATCTATTTGTTAAATAATGAGACAATTACAAATTCAGCTGAATCAAACAATTTGGATCATTTTTTAATGCCACAAACAAGATATATCAAAGAACTTGATTTATTTTTAGGTTTCTATAGGTTTCCGTGCCAGCAAAACTTACCTCCCCTTCTCTTGTCTTCACCACCAGGCTATCGGGAAACAACACATTGTTACCGATATCTAATTTCTGAAAAAGAAAAAGTCTTGATACAATAATATATAAAACAGACAAAGGAAATGCTACAGACATGTTTCACAAACTTTCTAACCCATTTTGAGTTTGGACTGAGGTATTTCTGACTCATTTTGAGTTTTGACTGAGGTATTTCTGACTCATTTTGAGTTTTGACTGAGGTATTTCTGACTCATTTTGAGTTTGGACTGAGGTATTTCTGACTCATTTTGAGTTTGGACTGAGGTATTTCTGACTCATTTTGAGTTTGGACTGAGGTATTTCTGACTCATTTTGAGTTTGGACTGAGGTATTTCTGACTCATTTTGAGTTTGGACTGAGGTATTTCTGACTCATTTTGAGTTTGGACTGAGGTATTTCTGACTCATTTTGAGTTTGGACTGAGGTATTTCTGACTCATTTTGAGTTTGGACTGAGGTATTTCTGACTCATTTTGAGTTTGGACTGAGGTATTTCTGACTCATTTTGAGTTTGGACTGAGGTATTTCTGACTCATTTTGAGTTTGGACTGAGGTATTTCTGACTCATTTTGAGTTTGGACTGAGGTATTTCTGACTCATTTTGAGTTTGGACTGAGGTATTTCTGACTCATTTTGAGTTTGGACTGAGGTATTTCTGACTCATTTTGAGTTTGGACTGAGGTATTTCTGACTCATTTTGAGTTTGGACTGAGGTATTTCTGACTCATTTTGAGTTTGGACTGAGGTATTTCTGACTCATTTTGAGTTTGGACTGAGGTATTTCTGACTCATTTTGAGTTTGGACTGAGGTATTTCTGACTCATTTTGAGTTTGGACTGAGGTATTTCTGACTCATTTTGAGTTTGGACTGAGGTATTTCTGACTCATTTTGAGTTTGGACTGAGGTATTTCTGACTCATTTTGAGTTTGGACTGAGGTATTTCTGACTCATTTTGAGTTTGGACTGAGGTATTTCTGACTCATTTTGAGTTTGGACTGAGGTATTTCTGACTCATTTTGAGTTTGGACTGAGGTATTTCTGACTCATTTTGAGTTTGGACTGAGGTATTTCTGACTCATTTTGAGTTTGGACTGAGGTATTTCTGACTCATTTTGAGTTTGGACTGAGGTATTTCTGACTCATTTTGAGTTTGGACTGAGGTATTTCTGACTCATTTTGAGTTTGGACTGAGGTATTTCTGACTCATTTTGAGTTTGGACTGAGGTATTTCTGACTCATTTTGAGTTTGGACTGAGGTATTTCTGACTCATTTTGAGTTTGGACTGAGGTATTTCTGACTCATTTTGAGTTTGGACTGAGGTATTTCTGACTCATTTTGAGTTTGGACTGAGGTATTTCTGACTCATTTTGAGTTTGGACTGAGGTATTTCTGACTCATTTTGAGTTTGGACTGAGGTATTTCTGACTCATTTTGAGTTTGGACTGAGGTATTTCTGACTCATTTTGAGTTTGGACTGAGGTATTTCTGACTCATTTTGAGTTTGGACTGAGGTATTTCTGACTCATTTTGAGTTTGGACTGAGGTATTTCTGACTCATTTTGAGTTTGGACTGAGGTATTTCTGACTCATTTTGAGTTTGGACTGAGGTATTTCTGACTCATTTTGAGTTTGGACTGAGGTATTTCTGACTCATTTTGAGTTTGGACTGAGGTATTTCTGACTCATTTTGAGTTTGGACTGAGGTATTTCTGACTCATTTTGAGTTTGGACTGAGGTATTTCTGACTCATTTTGAGTTTGGACTGAGGTATTTCTGACTCATTTTGAGTTTGGACTGAGGTATTTCTGACTCATTTTGAGTTTGGACTGAGGTATTTCTGACTCATTTTGAGTTTGGACTGAGGTATTTCTGACTCATTTTGAGTTTGGACTGAGGTATTTCTGACTCATTTTGAGTTTGGACTGAGGTATTTCTGACTCATTTTGAGTTTGGACTGAGGTATTTCTGACTCATTTTGAGTTTGGACTGAGGTATTTCTGACTCATTTTGAGTTTGGACTGAGGTATTTCTGACTCATTTTGAGTTTGGACTGAGGTATTTCTGACTCATTTTGAGTTTGGACTGAGGTATTTCTGACTCATTTTGAGTTTGGACTGAGGTATTTCTGACTCATTTTGAGTTTGGACTGAGGTATTTCTGACTCATTTTGAGTTTGGACTGAGGTATTTCTGACTCATTTTGAGTTTGGACTGAGGTATTTCTGACTCATTTTGAGTTTGGACTGAGGTATTTCTGACTCATTTTGAGTTTGGACTGAGGTATTTCTGACTCATTTTGAGTTTGGACTGAGGTATTTCTGACTCATTTTGAGTTTGGACTGAGGTATTTCTGACTCATTTTGAGTTTGGACTGAGGTATTTCTGACTCATTTTGAGTTTGGACTGAGGTATTTCTGACTCATTTTGAGTTTGGACTGAGGTATTTCTGACTCATTTTGAGTTTGGACTGAGGTATTTCTGACTCATTTTGAGTTTGGACTGAGGTATTTCTGACTCATTTTGAGTTTGGACTGAGGTATTTCTGACTCATTTTGAGTTTGGACTGAGGTATTTCTGACTCATTTTGAGTTTGGACTGAGGTATTTCTGACTCATTTTGAGTTTGGACTGAGGTATTTCTGACTCATTTTGAGTTTGGACTGAGGTATTTCTGACTCATTTTGAGTTTGGACTGAGGTATTTCTGACTCATTTTGAGTTTGGACTGAGGTATTTCTGACTCATTTTGAGTTTGGACTGAGGTATTTCTGACTCATTTTGAGTTTGGACTGAGGTATTTCTGACTCATTTTGAGTTTGGACTGAGGTATTTCTGACTCATTTGTAGTTGGGACTGAGGTATTTTTGACTCATTTGTAGTTGTAACTGAGGTATTTCTGACTCATTTGTAGTTTGGACTGAGGTATTTCTGACTCATTTGTAGTCGGGACTGAGGTATGTTTGACTCATTTGTAGTTGGGACTGAGGTATTTCTGACTCATTTGTAGTTGTAACTGAGGTATTTCTGACTCATTTGTAGTTGGGACTGAGGTATTTCTGACTCATTTGTAGTTTCAGAGGTTGACACTCTAATATAGTAGGAGGCAAATAAAAGGATCATTTTCTCTCTAAGCATTTTTGCATTAAAATATGCTAGAAAATAGAACTTAATAAGAAGCACTGAATAAATGTGGTATGGTTTACGAAATTATATAGAAGACATGCATGCGGGGGCAGGCATAGGGGTTGTTGACCAGATGATGGTGCAAGACACTAAGACACTGACCAGTATGTCTGTCCAGCGAATGATGACCTTGTCCTCACGTCCCAACAGAAAGGAGTAGAAACACAGATGGTTCACACTTAGATACATCCATCCCTGGCGTGGCACACGACTCTTCCAGTAACTGCAAGAGTAGTCTACAACAAAACGTTTTCCAGGCTAATAGTACTTGCTCAATTAATTAAACTTTCTACAGTATACCTGTGTAAGATACCTATATACACTGCCAAATATTATATTGGGTGTAGAATACATTTAAACTTCCATAAATCAAACTTCGAAGATTCAAATTTCTCGATGTATTGAACTTCTCGATGTATCGAACTTATTGCAAAGTCCAGAATTTTTTCCTTATATAACTTTACTGATATTCAACTTATGAATTAAACTTACCGTAGTCAAATTTCTTGCTATTTCGAACTACAATCAAGGTGTCATCATAGGGAAACCATTCAAAATTACACTTAATTAATCAGTAATTTTAACACTTAAACATATATCTGAATAATCCTTGCCTAGCTATTTGATAAAATGTTCATGATAATTCAGAATATACGAATGTAGTAACACTAAACAAATGTCAGGTCACATGATATTGTTTTTTGTTTCAATATTTAAATTGCAAAACAAAGCATCTCTGCCTGAGCATGCTATAGACAGTAATTCCCATCTATGCCAATCTTACAATTAACTGCAACTAATGCTGGCAGATCTAGATACAACCTTACTAAGAGATTAAAAGTACTAGTTCGTCTCACCATCATGAAGTAGCAGAAGCAATACTCGGCGGCGACAAGGTTAAGTTTTTTGCGTTTAAGTTAGTTTCACTGAAAGTATCAGTGCTAGACCAACCAAACTTGGACCATAGATGCATCTTTAAGGTAATAAATCTCAACCCATGCATCAAATGCTGGATGCGGCCTACCTTTCATGGTCCATTGACTTTGTCAGCATCTCCATCAACATTGAGTTTTTGCATTTAAGTTAGTTTCTCTGATATGTGCATTGATGGTCAAAGCAGGGCACAGGTGAGACATATTAAACCGAATGACCTGTTTCTAAATTTTAGAGTACATTTAGTGCATTCGAAAAAACTACCAACTGTTCTCGTTTCCACTTATAATCAAATTAACTGTGCTGAGATTTAACAGTTTTCAAATATGATACCAAAATTTGAATTTGAAAATAATATGGTAACATTCTGTTAAGTAATTGAGTTGCTGGGTATCGGGGAGATAATCACATCACATCAATATTTTTTTCAAATGAATGAATTGTTGTATCGGTCACTTACAATTGACTAGCTTTTCCTCCTTGGGCATGTTAAAAAGTTTCATAAACTTCCTGGTTGCATTTTTATATCTCTTGGTTTCATCGTCTACAAAATATAAGAAATATCTTTCATGATTCAAGATTATTTTCCTTTGGACAGAACATGATAACATGCACTCAGACACCGACTTAAAAACACTGTATCTTAACTATAATAATAATAATTTGAGGTTCTTATATACCACTTTATCACAATATAGTTTGTAGGTCATCTCAAAGCGGTTCACAAATTATTATCCGTGGTCATAGGGGCCTTTGCAACCAGCCAATATTTGTGTCAACTTCCTGGGGAGCAAACAGCCGATGCTGCCATTTCGTCTCACAGCTAGCATTCTACAATTCTAGCACTGCATGCCCAACCACATACTCATTTACAGCTGAGTAGACTGGAACAAGCGGAGTAAAGTGTCTTTTCCAAGGATACCACACAGTGCCGTTACATGACTCGAACCCGCAAACCCTTTGGTCACAAGCCTGGCGTCCTACCACTAGACTACCGTGCTATTATATTCTTAAAATTAACACACATTTAAATAGAAGATATGTGTTTGGAAACCTATCCAAACATATAAAAGAAATTCTGAATTAATGTATTATTACAAAGCAATGCAAGGTTTATATGTATTTTTTACAGAGAAGATACGTCTATCATGGGCGCAACTTACCGTCTTCTCCCTTCAGCTTCACTTCATTGGCTAGCAGACTTTCTATTTTACATCTGATAAACTCTGTTGAGTCCTCATTAGACTCAAATGCACCTGTGGAAAATATACAGAAACTCAATTTATCATTTAACTGCTGCTTTATCCATCTAGCTCATGTTTTTTTGAAATAATTTTGCTCTATAAATTAACATAATGTGTATGTGTCGTGATGTCACACACAAGATGACATCACATCGACTTCTCTTCTAAGTTGGAAAGTTGACATTGTGCAGTTGGTAAAGAGAACAGCCAGTGTTTCTTTTTTATTTATTTTATGGGCTGCTAGTGTATGCAGTCTTACAAATTCTTATTAAATGTTTAAACCACTTCCTTTTTTTTTTTTTTTTAAGCTCAATAATATCAATGGAGCAATATTTGTTTTTTTAAACAAAGAAATATGGCAATTATAGATATGCATTAAAACTTTCTCGTTAACATTTTTAACATAATTAAATATATGTTTTCTATAACAAAAACAAATATTTGAGAAATTAAATATTGTTTTAAAATTATGTCTAAACAGCTGACAACATGATATTTTTTTTAGATAGAGTGAAAAAACAATATTAAATAGTTACAAACTAGGTGTCATATATTACACTGGGTTAATCATATATATAAATATAATTGAAATATTTGTATTACTTACCTAGAGTTTCCATCAAATGCTGTTCTAGCCATTCCCAATCTTTATGGATCTCCTTTTTGTTGTTAGCCACTGCCACAGCTGAAAGTTATAAAACAGCTGTCAATGTTAAACATTTTTACAAGGGCCTCCAACAGACCCTTAAAAATATATTTTTGACTTTCCAAAATGAGCTTTGATTGTTGGGTGTCAAAGGACAGGTATATATGACATGTTTTGACCCTCCAAAGTTCAGGGAATATTCTATTTGACTTCAGAAATTGCTTAATGTCAAGGCTTTTGTTTGATTTGTTTTGTGTTTTACGTCCTATTAACAGCTATGGCCATTTAAGGATGTGCCAGGCTTTGATGGTGGAGGAAAGCTGGGTACCTAGCACCAAACTGCGGCCAGTACCTGGTGACTGCCCCACATAGGCCTCGAATTGCAGCCAAGTGGTGGAGGGCTTGTGATTGTAGATGGTTTGGTGCCTTAGAAGGCCACCGCGGACCATACGTCAAAGGTCAACTTAAAACCCTGTTTATATAATTTGAATCTATGACCATGAGAAATATTATTTCCACACAAGGGCAGGTTATGGGAACACTGTTACCAACTTTTTTCATCAACATTATAAGAATCAGAAACGGTTTTATTTAAAAATTATTTATTTTAGAACACATTTTTACTCATATATATCACTATTTTTGGCGCAGATGTTAGCCTGCGGGGGGGGGGGGGGGGGGGTCTTATTGTAGGAGAAACCGCAGTTCCAGGAGAAAACCCATGTCACTAGGCAGATGAGCCCCCATACCCTTTTACATTCGGTCAGCGAATCAAACCCCTACTGCCTTGGTGAAAGGCGAATGCACATTATCCACTGCCCCACCCGACCACCCCGAAACTGTTTTGTAATAAATGTATATATATGGTTCATCAATTGAGATACAATACATACTGTAGCTGACATCGGATCCATTTGGTTGGTGAAGAATTCTGTATGGAGGTGTCTGAAAAATAAAATGTCAACTAATTAATCAAATCAATTCATGAATTGCAATTAAATGACCATACAGATCCCAACTGTCCCTTTTCACTCTAGTTTTTTCCCTTATATGCAGTTACCTCCCCTGAACTTCATTGTTGATATAACTGTAGCACACGCTGAGCAAGGGTAATTCCACTGACAGAGTACGTAGCTCAGTTGGGAGACAGAACAATCTGAGGTTATCAAAGCTAGTCATGCTGGAAAATCTATTTCCAATGTGTAGTAACAGATTTTGGCAGTGGTACAGGGATTCCAAAGTAATTTAGATCGAAATTTGAGAAAAAGGATCATAAAAGAATACTCTACTCATAATTTCACTTCAAGCTTCAAATCCTTTCATTTTGATTTACTTACTTACTTCAAATAAGTGTCTATTGCTTCTGCTTATTTTTTTAAGACTTTTGAAAGGTTCTGCAATCTTTCTAATTTATAAGCCCCATAGAGAGATTTTTTCTTTTTAAGAATCCAGTTCATCTTTAAAATTTGATAATTGCCAATAATTATATTTAATAAAAAAAATATACTGTTAAAGTATTAAACCAATAAACTACAATTAAAATTAATTTAAGGTATTTCAGGCCTTTGTTTTCTTTCCCTTTGATTCAGAGAGGAACAAGACCTACTTTGCTGTCTAGGACAGTGTCCAGCGTGCCAACCAAGAGACCGGTCAACCCTCCTCCCCCATATCCCTTTCTTCTCTGCAGGATGAAAAAAGGATTGGCTCTTTCAGTCACCCTAAAATACATGAAATTATAATAATGAAGAATAGAATTATCAAAACAGAAATTTGGTTTACAGTCAAAAGTACAGACAATGATTTAAAATGTACATTATAATAAAAAATAAAATTATTACAGATTTTTAAGGTTATCAAAAATAACACATATCGTGCTTAGAAGAGTTAACAATAAAAACAATAACTTGAGGTTCTCATATACTTTATCACAACCTAGGTAATAGGTCGTCTCAAAACGGTTGACAAATTATCATTTGTTGTTATAGGGCCTTCGCAACCAGCCAATATATCTTATTTTTAGGTCCTCTGGTTGTAATGAGGACTGAAAGGACTCCACTGAAGGGGCAGTCTTGTTGTTACTGGGAATGTGGTTTCAGGTTATGATGGTTCAGGGAAGAAAGGAGTTCTGATAACATGTAGGTGTCAATCTTGACCGGGATTTGCTTCAAGCTGCCGCTGGTGGCTCCACAGGTCCTTACATCTGCCTGCCTGATCTTATGGCTGACCTCCACTTCCACAATGTTGTTGATGATGTTGTATAACAACCTTGCCCTCCTTACTGCTAGGGGTTCCCATCTCAGATGACGCAGTATGGCCGTCATATGCTACCTTCATCTCTGGAGTAGTTTTGCGCGGTAAATCTTGCAGCCTGCTTTAGGACTCTCTCCATCATCTCGATACGTTGGGCTTGATAGGGGTCCCATACTGCTCCAGCGTAATACATTATGGGACGAACTAGGGATGTATACCTTCTTGCCCTAACTTCCTCTGGACAGGCGCGGATGTTGCTTAGGAGAAAGCCTACTGACCTAGCTGCCTTCGATGATGACTAGCACTGATTCGATGATGCCAGGAGAGGCTGCTGGTGCCGACACCAAGGTATTGGCTGTTCTTTACCTCTGCAAGTTGGGTTCTGTTCAAGTGGTAGTTGGTTTTCTGGATGCTCCGTCTACGAGTTACAGAAGTTATTCTCTTGAAATTTTCATTTTGGAACCACACTACCTATCTTTTATATGTTTATTAATTTATGTGTTTAACAGTGTCAAAGATTTGCATGCTTGTTATGTTTCATATAATGCTAACCTCTTTTTTTTTGTTATATAGTTGGTTGTAAAAGCCTTCCATAGACTTGTGTTGCCTTTTTTAACCCTGTACCGACTTTTAAATAAAAATTACTGGACTTGACATGCATGATGATGCGCTTATCTGGGTTAAAGGCCATCTGCCAATCGCATGTACACTTGTGGAGGGTGTTGAGATTGTCCTGTAGATTGACGCTGTCTATGGCAGAATGTATTTTTCGATAGATGATGCAGTCAACTGCAAATAACCGGATGTTGGATTTCACTACCTCCGGCAGGTCATTTATATACACCACGAACATCAAGGGGCCGATCACAGTGCCCTGGGATACTCCTGATAGTGGAGCTTGTTAACCATTAAAGGAAAAAGCTGTGACATTTACATAACCATTTCTACTGGTTGGCCTAATGTGTATCCCTACAACCGTGCCACAATGATTTCGATAACAGGTAGGGTCACTGGCCTTGCTTTGTTTATCTATTCTGTTGGTTTACGGCCAGAACAGATCATTGCAGATGACATTTCACCAACCAATAAAGTAGATATCATTCAGCATAATGTTTCAATAAAAACGTTTCTTTTATATGTAAATATACGACATCATCTCGTTATTAAAAGACACGTGGCCAAAATATACATACACGGAAGGAAATGTTTGTGAAAATCGTAAGTCAGCCCAAGACTGGGACGGTAGGGGGTGTGCTACTTTTAAAATTGATGTCAACAATATTACAAAGCACAAACCAGAGAGCATTTGCCAGCAGAATTTCTTCTGGCTTCAGCCACATGATGAAAGGTTACAGGAAGCCAAACATTCCAGATAGTAAGCAACGTGTTAGCTTTGTATTATTGGACATGAACACGCACTTGTCAGCTGACTGCCATTACTAGTACTCGGAACACCTCGTTGATGTTCATTATCTTAACTCGGTGACTTAAGAGGTATTCCGAAATATAATGTTTACGTTTTTTCTCGTGATCTCGACTGGCTGTGATGATCTTTATTAACATTTTACATGTTTTAGCTATCAAAAAATTGTCCTTTTATTGTGTTTAGTAAAAATAAATAGTCGATTAATTGATATACCGATATGATTTAATTCCAGTTTACCCATCGGGGAAAAGCCGAGCCCACTCAGAAAAAGCGCGGGAAATTATGATTTGTGTGTGTGGTCCGTGTGTGTAAATTGTATACGGCTACATAAGGGTTTTATTTATGAAATTTTGTTACGTATTGAACCAGTTTGTAAAATCTTAACTAGTGAAAGTCCAAAACATATGTGTGTTCTGCATTACCACCTCTGTGTATTGTCAGACCTCCAGTGTAAACAGACTATATATATATATTCTCTAGCTAGTATAGCTGTGACGTCGGAGTAAAACAAAGGGTTACTGTTCCAATGATTTCACCTTGGTTATTCAGGATGATGGTGGAGGATATTAAACAATAACTCTAATGGAAATCATTTTAGTATGTTACATTTGTTTAACACGGCGAGATACTTTAGACAATCGCCGTGTAACCTGTCGGAGTCGGTACAATCATATGCCGCATAAACAAATAGCCAACCAGCGGCCTCTTATAAGGCTACATGATGTACATGTCCAGGGGTTACCGTTTGTTAAGAGGCACGGTAGTCTAGCGGTAGGACGCCGGGCTCATAACCAAAGAGTTGCGGGTTCACGTCACGGCACTGTGTGGTATCTTTGAGAAAGATACTGTATCTTTGACAAAGATACTTTACTTCGCTTGTTCCAGTCTACTCAGCTGTAAATGAGTACGTGGTAGGGCAGTGCTAGAATTGTTGAATGGTAGCTGTGAGCACCAAAATGGCAGCACCGGCTCCCCAGGGATTTGAGAAAGATATAAGCTGCTTGCAAAGGCCATATTTGTTAATCCAAACAAGTCAAAAAGTTATAAAAAAACCCATTATGCCTTTAAAATAGGGAACCACACAATAGAATAAACTGATGGATAAATATATATATATATATATATATATTTGTGTGTTATTCAATGTATAATACGTTATAACATTTAAATATCTGCTGATGTATTTGCCAAAGTGGGGATAGATCCTAAGGTGGTGCTATTGTTAAAAGCTTTCTCACAACCTCACTCTCTGTTTCCATATAAGTTTAGAGAAATTTACTTTCCATCTTTTTGGCCCCTAGCATGCATCAACGGTCAGTCTAGAAGGACGAAAATTGCAGTGCCATTCATTTTGGCATACTGTACCTATTATCAAAGTATAAAAGTGCTTTCTAAAGTGTGTCTTTCGTTCATCATTCAAATCAATAATACATATTCTTTTAACATCCATAATTATAAAATAAAAATCGTTCCACTCATGTGAAAATCTCGACCTTGGTTTGATATTTCGTACATGTATATGAACTAATTGTGTTTACTACGTAAACAAATATTACTGTGGCTTGTTTCACAACACAAGAGCTGTTCGCTGACACGAATAGTCATCAACAGTGCGCCAGCTAGGCATTACATTAGTTTCTCAGGGTCGGAGACACGAATAGTCATCAACAGTGCGCCAGCTAGGCATTACATTAGTTTCTCAGGGTCGGAGAGGAGTGCTAATATCGACCCAAACACTCCACCAGAACTACATTGTGGCATTCCGGAGCTTACGGTTCACGTGCAAGGACATATAACGGATTGGGGAGGGACCAGTTCATAAAGGTAAGATAAAACATGGAGTGAAATTGTTAAAAGATGATCTCTTCAATAATTTGGCTGAAAGCTGCCAATGAGTTTTGACTTTGATTGAATTAAAATATACAAATTTAAAAAAAAACATCTTACCAAAACTGTTCGCTCAGGAACTGGCTCTGGATTCCAACTATCAATTGCTGTGTTTATATTTATAAACAAGTTACTGATCAGTTATAGGGTAAGACTCAATATAACATACTAGCAATATTAACATTACTAGTGGCTTTGAGTGAATGGTTGAATATTTTGCAAAGGTTTGACAAATCAAGGAAGACTTCTTTCCAAACGTCATGTTATAAATCACATGAAATTACAAGCACAACGTACACAGAACTTCCTCTTTATATTTTTCATAATTTCATTGACAATTACTTATTTTAACGATTAAAAATGTTCTTTTTTAAGGTCGACACTTTGTGGCCATGTCGACCATTGCTCAGATGTTTGCGTATGAGGATGGTAGTTTGGCGGGAGGATACAGCACCGAGAACTTCATGGAGGCCAGAGTTAATATCCGCCTCGTCATGATTTGTGTGGAAATTTGTCTCCGGAACATTTCTTGTATGAGCGTTTTCTACAATACGGTAACCAAGACATGCAGGCTTCACGAAAATGTCTTCTATAACACCGACTCCTTCGTGAGTGAAGCAGGGTGGCACTATTACAGAGCAGTCGGGGGTAAGTGCACATTAACATTGTATCAAGTTCCTCACGAATTGTACTCAACGACATTAAAATAAATGCACAATCTTTGTCTAAAGCTCTGACAGAAGGATTCAAAATCCATATTCACTTTTCAGACGCGTCAGATTTTTAAACATTTCGAAAGGCGGAAGTGAACCTTTTAAGACATACGGTGTGTTTATTGCTAATAGGACTTAAGAACTTCCATACCATACAAAGACTATCATACCGAAAGCTTCCAATCCCTTAATGGTAAAACCCCCAACGTTGTCTATGGTATTGATAATATTCTTCATGGTTTCATGTATGTTGGTCGAAAGAAAGAAAAAAATTGATAACGAATGAATGAATAAAATAGTCTATATTTCCTGAGTGATCTCATTGTCCAAACCACACTGCATAAAAAAATTGTGGTTTTGATTGCAGACAAAGCTTTCAATCACTAGATCCTTATTTGAAAACATTAGACGATTTTTTTCTGGAATAAAAATGACTAGATTAGCTTGATTAACCTAAAAACCCTACTTACACCTTTCCATTTTGTCGAAAGACGAAAACACTAGCTTATCATGCTTCTATATTGTTATCTTCCTAATAAAGCTAGCTTAATTTCGAATCCTAGCAAGAATCACGAGAACAATGTTTCATTGTTGGCTGTGCTAGCTGCTTAACAAGGCCAATAACCAACCTTGTTGCTACCAAAGAATCAGGGATAATGCCGTATTGGGACATTCTTTACATTATAAGTAAAATTAGTGAAATATTGATTTTGATGAACTCAAAAATTCTGAATATTCTCTCCGCAAAATTGTTCTTTTAATTTTGGCTTTCGATTTTTCCACTCCGTCAACCACTATATTTCATACCAAACCGAAGAAACATCATCGGTCGCATATAATGGAATGTTTATGTTCAAAGAAAAGCGTTCAGCGATAACACTTTAATGACGAGTACTTTGTGAAAAATATAACAACGTCAAAGATAAATCAACAAAATGTGCAATCAAGAGCACTACAGACTTTAGTACAGCCGCGTATGACGATATTTACTTACTTATGACCAACACGTGTANCCCCCCTCCAACATGTACGATGTTTTTTGCCCTAAATTTCATGATTTCCGTAATATATTTTAAATGCTGACGGAGATATTTACAACGCATATGTAATATATATTAATAAATCCTATGTTGCTATTATGCACTGTTTAAACGACCTGCAAAACACCATTTAGAACTTCCTCAGTTTTACAGAAATATTTTAATTAATATCATTCAATAAGGAACTTAGCATTCTCATATCAACTGATCCACAAACCATGTCCGTTTATCCTACCCTTGGTCAACCGCTTATTCGAACCATACAAATGTCTCCCAATGTGCTATATAATCAGCGTTTGTTTTTATAAATATATTCTGTAGATGACAACCGAGCGTCGCTGTCCCCAGACAGGGATATACCAAAGTCCTTAAAATTGTAGTTGTTATTTCCTGCTTAACGTTCAGCATTTAGGGGAATGGCAACAACGGCCTCACTCGTTGTAAGTAAAATGTAACCCGACAGAATGTTGTGCTAGGTGTGCGTGGCTTCGGCATGGTATTTAGGTGAGATAGCACTATAAAGTTGGTATCAGATCCGCGCTATCACAAGGAGGCAAGTACACCAACATACCCTGTATCCGGCACGCATACACACATGCACGCTTACACAACACACATGCAGGCACGTCCTTAAATGACCTTAGCTGTTAATAGATTGTTAAACAAAACAAAACCAAACCAAACCAAATCGAGCGTCACTTATCTTTTATCCCGATATGGCTGTTATAAAAGCTAAGAACTTCAAATATTTGGAGCAAGAAATTTACTCAGTTGTACTCAAGAACTCAACATAACGATCTAACGACGTTTTACTCAACTGTGTGTAAAGTTGTATTTTTTCAATGAAACGCAAATGTAACACCACCGAAAAGGAATAAAGATATTTACGGTAATAGCTTGCACGCTTGGATTTAGATCCGGCAGCGGGACACAAATGCCTTGTGTAACATTTCAGTTAACAATGCAGTTTTGATGAAACAGGAACAAGCATAATCGTGTTGTCATTCTGTCAGAAACAAATTAATATCATATCGGATGCGTTATGAAAGGATCCACGAGAGGCCAACAGTGCCGGTGTGTAGCCACAGTTTGAAGTATCAGGAAATCTAATTACACTCATGAATGAGCACACAGGGAAAATGTAATTATAACGCTTTCATCTAGAAAAACATACCTGTAGTTTATGTATTTGATTTATCGAGTAATTTGTTCAACCTGTTTCACTGTTATGACATGAAAAGGTTGACGGCAATAAACACAGGACTCGATCGTTTCATCTATGGAATCATACCGTCATATGATATTGACAATTTGGATTCCGTCCAGGGGTAAGCACTGTGGGTGCTATTTTCGCTTTGCAAACTATAATTTCGAAAACGCTATCTGAAAGAAAGAGGTTATATTGTTGTTTCGTAGATTTCCGCAAGGCATTTGATTTCGTAGATAGAGTAAGCCTGTGGTGCAAGTTAACAAAACTGTGTGTTCGAGGTAAATGTTTGTCTACAATTAAGTCTTTATACTCTTTAGTTAAATCTTGTGTTTTAGTTAATGGCAAATGTTCGAACTTTTTTTCTAATAATGTTGGATTGATGCAAGGGGAAATTTTATCCCCGTTACTTTTTTCTTTGTTTTTAAATGACTTTGAAAATAGTTTTATAGAAAATGGAGCATCCCATTATGATTTTGGGGAATTGAGTTTATTTCTTCTTCTATATGCAGATGATTTAGTTTTATTTTCTGAGTCAACGAAGGTTTACAAAGCCTCTTGAACAATCTAAGTGAGTATTCGAATAAGTGGAAATTAACAGTTAATACCGATAAAACCAAAATTATGGTTTTCAGAAATAGTGGAATTATTAGAGAATCAGAAAGCTGGGTGTATAACGGCAACAAAATTTCAATTGTGGATCAATTCTGTTATCTGGGGGTTCTGTTTAGATTTAATAACAAATTCAGTTTCATGGTTAAACATGTAGCAGAGCAAGGTCGTACAGCGCTTTTTGCCTTACGATCTAAATGTAAACACATTCATTTGAACATCAAAACTATGCTACACCTCTTTGACACATATGTGAGTAGTGTATTATATTATGGCTGTGAAATATGGGGTAGTTATAAAGGAGTTGAAATAGAAAGGGTTCATATGGAATTTTGTAAAAATATACTTTGTGTTAAAAAATCTACGTTTAAGTTGTTAAATTGTGAAAATTGTATTCTAAAAGAAGCATATCAGTTCTTATTAAAAGAAATTTGGAGGGAAAACCCAAAACGAAATTGGTTATTATTCATAAAGCATCAATTATTAGAACTAGGGTTTGGACATATATGGTTAAGGCAGGCAGCTACCGACATCTGTCTACTACCTATTATTAAACAGCGCATAGATGATCAGGCAAAACAAACTCGTTGGCCATCTCAAGTAAATGTGATCTCTTTAGATACATGGTATATACCGTGATGTTGCAATATTATTTAACAAAGTTTATACCAAAACAACGTCGAATTATGATTACCAAACTACGTATGTCAGCTCACAATCTTGCAATAGAAACGGGAAGATACAGGAATGTTGCAAGGAATAATAGATATTGCAGTAACTGTGACCTAATAGAGATAGAAGATGAATTCATTTTTTATTTACATGTACCTGCCCATGTCATCTAGATCTAAGGAGAAAATATATTACAAAATATTACTGGCAAAAACCATCCGTATTCAAACTTATCGAATTAGTAAATACACACAATGTAAAAGAACTGAATTTGTTAGGTAAATTTATTATTGAAGCTAACAAACGAAGCATTGTTTAACTTATAAGTTTGTTCTACCTAAGTTTGTATTACTCAATCGTATCATGTCCATGTTTTGTTCGTACAATCTTTCATGGTAAATGCTCAATGTTGTTGTTTTTTATTGTTGTTGATGATGATGATGATGATGACAGTGGTAGTGATTTAAATAATATCGTTGATTTGTGAAAAATGTACCAGTTTTATGAAATTCACGTTAAAATGGTAATTATTTCATGTTGTTGTACTTTGACGGATGATGTTGTAGTATTTGATGTTGATTTAAAGAGATGATTATTTCATGATGATGAGTTATAAGACGACGACGACGGCCACGACGACGATGATGATGATGATAATGATAATGATGAAAGCGATGAATTATGATTGCGATGCTGTTGTTGTTGCTGCTGATTTGTGATGAATGTGCCAGTAATATGTAATTATATGTTGTACTTATATGAAATTATTTGTTGAAAAAATCCTATAAGTTGTAAAACTTACGGAAATAAATTGATTTGAACTGATATTACACACTTAATCAACAAGGTCGAACATACTGAAATGAATGATAGGTATCTATTCAATTTATTCTCTGTCAATATTGAAAAATATAAGTCAATGAATGAACGCAGGAAAGCGATCGGGTAACCTTATCTGGAACGCATGTTACTTTATATTGTATATTGTGAACTAGTAATTGCTGTTATGATAGATTCGCCCACATTGGGGAGGGCGAAAAAGGCGAAAATTAAACTGCGGCAAACATTTTCTGGGATACTCTAGATTGTGTTCTGCGAAAGGTCTTAGTAAGTTGTAAATGTATCCAAACAGGAAAGAGAAAGGGGTAGCACCACGTGGAATCAATTTTCTGTTAAATCGAAGAGAACTCCATTGAATAATCGATATGAATTCAACCGGAAAATGTAACGTAGAGACGGAATACTAAAGCCACATTATCTTTTAAATAAATTGAACCCCTTGTAAACAGGACATCAATTATTCGCAATATTTGTCCGTTACGACAGAAGCGCCAACCTTCTGAGCGAGACTATGACTTAAATATCTTAAGGGTCCCTGTCCCACCGCCTTTGGTTTTTTCTTTATACACCTAACCTCCCCTTTCGTTTCGATATAACTAGACCACACTTTGTCTAAGACACTTCATTTTATTAGGTAGCTCATTTGGTAAGAGCGACAGTATAACTTTATGAAGTCAAGGGTTCGAATCCCAGTCTAGCTGCGCTGTTATGCTGGTGAAATCGGTTTCATGGATGCACATTTTGGCAATGGTACGGGGATCCTTAATTCAATAAGATTTTAACTCACAAATTACCGTGGATATTTGGCACTCACATCGGTTATTGGTAAAGCAATGGTTCCTAACAATCGATGTTAGGCGTAATATGTTAAGTCTTTCGGATATTATTTTGCAAGAGTTTTAACTTTTATTAAGTAAAACAGATTCCAGGAAAAAAATATAATTGATATGTTAATCATGTTTAATGCACTCTCTTCGAATTGTGGTTTGATAATTTAACGTCCTTTCCATATTACGGGACAAAAGTTTATTTTTAGTCCGTACATGATATTTGTAGTTATATGTGCTGTAGGCACAACATTCGAACTGCTTGGCTTGAAACTCTGTCTGATATATGAACGGTCAATGTAGTTTTTAATTCGAATTTGCTTGAATTCTGTTTCTATGTTGACCGTATGACATGTAAATAATTTTTAGATTGTACATTAATTCATATTTGTTGTCGAGTTTCTTATCTATTAATTAAGCTTTTGTTTTCAACTTTAAGACAAGGAATTTTTTTTAATGCTGCATCTGCGTTGATCATGTAACACAGAATGATAGTGCTTTATATTAATTTGTTTATATAATTGTTAATTGTCTATTTCATTTATTTGTTTATTTATTTTTAATTTTGATTTATTGTTACTAATGATGAAGCTGTAAAAAAAAATGTTTTTTATTTTATTTTATTTTATGACTAGCATGGACTTTATTGCTGCATCTATGTTGATCAAATGAATATAATGACACATCAATGCAAGATGTTTTTGTTATTTTGCGTTTTGCTTGATTATCTTTTTTATTTATCAATTGGCTCTCTACTACTTTACCAAAGTTGTTGGTGCCAAAATCAACACCGTCTTTGTTAAAAAAATACTTTGTTATGCGTAGACTGTTTAAAATCTCTGTGTTTTCAATTACTGTACAGATCCGAAATGTGATGTCTACAATGGCTTCGTCCATCAGCGAGATGCTGGATTTTGCTATCGGGCAGAATCGGACCTTCTCACCAAGACTCTTGCAGATAGCGCATGCGCTGCGAAGACTTCCGCTCTAGCAATTCTGGATAGTCAAAAGAAACAGGATGTTGTGGTTGCCACTCTCAACCTGTTGTCAAGTAAGTAAAATAATGTTAACGTGGACAATATAACCTTAGCAACATCAGCGAATTTTTAATATAATATACATTTAAATTGGATACAATAACTACTATTACTTTGATTTTTGTTGATATCAATGATATTTTCTTTTCAGTTTTGATGTGTATAACACATTGTCAACACACTAAATCGAAAATCCAAGTCAGGAAAAGACAAAACCACCAGAAGTTGGTTTTGTCTTTTCCTGACATGGAGTTTCGATTTAGTGTGTTGACAAGACAAAATGTTATTTACATTTGTTCTCATGTCAACTCAACAAGAACTGTTTCATTTATATCCCTTCTCCGACGTTGTATTAAACTTAAGGGAATAACTCCAATAGAAAAAGTTGAAATGAAAAAAATACACCGCTTACGCAAAACTTTATAAAGTACCGATCATGTGCACAGTTATATCGTCCAAGAATATAATATTTATTGACAGAAATCGGAATATTGGCATAACTTCCATAACCCACAACACTTTTGTTTTATCCAAACCACGTTTTTATTGGGTACTGGTAATTTGTACCAAGCTTCAGTATAATATTAGTCAATAGAGTATGAAGCAGAACTTCTGATATCATTTATAATTAGAGATCGGAAATGGACGCAACTCCCTAAAAGAATCAAAATCTTAAAAAACAAGCACTCAAGTATCTAAGGTACTGGTTATATAAACAAGCTTCATGATTGGTTTTTAAGAAAGTAACGTTGTTGTGGGAATGCAATAACCCAAACCAAGCCCTTCTGATTTATTTTATTTCTTACATTACCTTACACATACTATAAATGAATACATATCTATGATACCCTACTAGCAAAAGCACCTGCTGCAGTGCAGGAAACGACTGTGGAACCAGTACTAAAAGGATGCTACTCTACCGGCCATGTTGTTAACATTAAAAAAGAGTTGACCAATATAGCGATGACAGTGCAGATGTGTTTTGCTATCTGTCAACCGCTGGGTAAGACGCACACCCTGCTTGAGGTAAGTTGATATGTATTATAGAGATGGTCTTAGTTTATCAGGTATTGACTGCTTCTTACCGACTTAGTTAAAGAAAAGTCACTTTAGCTCATTTGGTAGAACGTCAACAAGATTGTCCAGGTTCGATTCCTAGCGGTAGCATTGAAAAACATTAACCTCTGTTTTCTTGGCGGATCCGGAAAACATTAATAAAAATACTTAACATTGCTCTTATCATTATCACTGTTATTCATTCAATGCAAGCTAATATTTAATGTATTTGATCGAAAAGTATGTTTTTGTATAGACGGGTTGCATTAGCATTACAGATTGAGTGTATGTATTGGGTAGTGATTGAGGTATTCAAGGATTGGTGATTGGTGTATGAAAGAAATGATGGTCGTTAAAGAGTGGTAGAATAAGCGTTATCTGTTTACAATTGTTTTATAAATTAGATATACGATGTTAAATGTTTAAACGGGTTGATGATTGATTGGTAAATGCCCTTTATTGATTGGTTAGTAATGGAGTGAATAGGCGGATTAGGTAGTTCCTGGTCCAATTAATTAGGATGAGTTCAGTTATAGTTGCTTAATCATTATTAAAAGTATCATCGATCTCCTCAATATTGTAATTGAATATATGTTTCCTGGTGCTACATTTCTTAGATTCAGATAGAGTGTTACTGTGGAGATCTTCAGGCTGCTGCTACATCATTTCCGGACTTAACTTGCAATAAGATATGTGCTGACGGAAAGTGGTGCGGAAACCTTAGTGGGATGCTGGCAACATATGAACATGTCTCCACGTCTACAGCTGGTAGGAGTCAAAGCATTGAAAAATCAATATAATACTGACAAATTAGGGCAAGTTTTGCTTATTAGATATTTTTTTCGTTTAATTGTCACTACTATGCGGTAAAATCGCCATTTCATATTTTGAAACGGCGCTTTGTTGCCGCACATACCGATTGCTTTCTAGGTCAAAGGGTGAAAATGCGAAAAAAATGCCATTTCATTTCATTAGTTGCGTTGTGAAGTTATCGTTTTATATTTTTTCATGGCATATAAAGCATTGATTTTTACCTTTTTTCTCCGCGAATTAACGCCATTTTATGAAGCTTAAGGTTTTTCTTTTTTAAAGCAACAGAATAAAAAGCGATAAGTGCGCAGTTGACAAATATAGTATTTTATTAAATTTACGCTCTGAAACCCGTTCGTTCTTAGGCTACCATCAAGGTTTGTTTAAGGTAGTAAGTGATCTGTCGTATTAATAACAGTTTGCATACTAGACGTTAAGGCGAAACAGCGCCGCTTTATTTCATTGTAAAGTAAACTTTGCTTTCTACGACTATGGCTCGAAACTATATAACTATCTTCTCTGAATAAACAATACATTTTCATACATTGCAGTAGTTGCTGCACGATAATATAAATCAAATCAGGTTACAGTTTTAGCCATGTTGCCCAGCAGACAAGTTGTCCCGAATTCACGCTTGGGTTTGAACTCCAGAAAAATCTTATTTTCACAACAAACAAGCTTGAAGAAACTGAGAAGTGATAAAAAGACATGATACCGTTTGAAAGAAATACATTGTTATTTCAGATAAGTTATTGTCTGACTGTTGTGTAAGTTAACAAGTAATATTATTTGCGTAATTCATTCACCCCTGAAGACACATATGAACTCTTCCGATTCAAATGTTGGAATAGTTCATTATGAAATTTCAGGGCCGAATCAGTTAACCTTTGTAGGACTTAGATTCTGTTTGTGATTTTTCAACAGTTAGCGTGTAACGTTATTTGATTAATCTTTGTAGGACTTAATTTCGGTTTGTTATGTTTCCACATTTAGCGTGCTACATGTTATGCTTAATCTTTGTAGGTCCTAGTTTCGTTGGATTTTACATAGGAGCAACATTAAACACGGCAACCAATCAATGGGTGTGGAGGGATTCAGTAATACTCACATACAACGATTTCGATGCAGCAGACGATTCACTATTGTCAGAAACTTGTGCTGTGATGGCGTCGGATGTTTCGTACAAGTGGTATTCAGAAGCATGTAGCTACACTGCTGGATATATCTGTCAAGTTGATATCTAGATTGTTATGAATTACAAAGTATCAAAATGCCACGCATCATGATGGCATTTCATTTCACAGATATTTTATTGAATCAAATACTGTATACAAACTCAACATGAATTATCATCATGGTGGCATCGATTATGGAATACATGTGCTACCTGCTTAGCATATTTGTTACCTTGATTTTAGATGGATATTTATGACGCTATAGCCTAACATTGTCATATGGCGTAATGGCTCCGCATTTTAGGTACATTCGATACCACAAACCGTGCACTTACATTACGTGGTTGATTTGAGACGACTATGACATCATAGCGTTAATTGTCACGTGCCGTGATGAGGACTGCTGTAACGTATCTATTTTATTCGATCGGGTGTACATGGACCTGCACCTGTAAACGAATGATGTCATTCTTTGGAACTGTAAATTGATATAACATTATTGCATTGAAAAATAATTTGAATGAATGCAGTACATATAGCATTAAATAATTAATGCTGATTTAAATACACGCACACATATAGATTTGAACTTAACAATATTTTATTTCTATTACCTTTGCAGGTTAAGGACTTTTGCCATATATATGTTTTGAGTGAATTTGTTATAAAACTTTACTTTTAAGAAGGTTTTTTTTCACGAGAAGATATGTCGCTCAACTGTTCAGCACAAATATGTAATATGGATAAATATACGACAGTGTCTCAAACATCAAAAACCCAAAGCCAATACTCACTAAAAAGTAGCGTAGTCTGTCAGAACTACTGATACCCCTGAACATGTGTATATCGCTATTAACACATTTCGCCAAGGGCATTCTATGATTCCACTATTCATTGCTAAATTGTTAATTATTCATACCCCCATCTACTTCTCCTTATTATTGATATGCCTATACAAAAATAAGCAATGCTAATTGTAAATTAAACAAATATGCAATGCTAATTACTAATACGCAAATACATAAATTTCTGCTAATTACTGTTACGCCTATTCATATAAACATTGTGAATTAAATTATGTATATTTATGTCAGGCTTGATAATTAAAGTTCAGAAACTGAACTTGTTTTGTTGCACTATTTAACATAACAAAAAACAACTAAGATTAAAATGTTGTTAATTTTTATTTTTTTTTATTTTTTTTCATTTTCATATTTATTTATTTTTTATTAATTCCAGACATATCATACACATGAGGAACCGTCTGAGGATGGAATACGTCAGTTACGGTTCTTTACATTAATACTCTATTAATTAAGCATACATATTCAAGTTTTATCATAATTAATATTCTGTGCAACTCTGTTCTGCAAGAAGGATTTGAATTAATATATATAACCTTCGCACATAAAAAAACCTTTTTGTTGTAAATAACCAGTTTATGATTAATTTAGAATTTGGTTCACAAATATAACTTGCATAACATACGCCTAGAAAAATAAATATACAAGATAATGACTGGAATTAATTAAAACGGGGATTGGGGGATAGTTTGGTTAAAAAAGTAGAAGTTTATCCAGAAAAAGAGGGACAGGGATAAGAGAGACATAAGAGTAAGGAGAGAGGAAAAGAGATTCCCGACGAAAGCAATAATTATTCATGAAAGGGTGATTATTCTAATTTATCAGCAAATGAAAAACAAAATCAGAGAAAAATAAAATACTTGCAAAAAGAGGTAGATTTACTTAGTTTTTATCCTTAATGACAATATAGTTGCTTGGTATATGTATGTATCTATATATGGTATATCAATTCTATCTTCTTGTAATATGATGTATATGTACAAGTAACTGTTCTGTTTCACTGTGTCTTGAAAAAGGAGCGGAGCGCTCCGAAAATTTGACAACCTAAACTTGTCAAAACTGTTGGAATTACTTCTTTGCCCCATATAATATTTTAAGTAATTCGTATCCTACGGACATACCTCCATTAGGATCCAGTGTTATATGGGATTTTACCGTCTATATTACTTCTTTGACCCATATGTATCTATATATATATATACCAGAAGAGATGAAAGTACTAAAGACTCGTTGTTGAGATTTTTTCTTTTTATAATATTTCTTCGTCCGTAAGGATAATTTTTCTGATTTATAATATATTATTTTATAATATTTCTTTGTCCGTAAGGATCATTTTTCTGATTTATAATATATATAATATAAATGATCCTTACGGACGAAGAAATATTATAAAAAAAAAAATCTTAACAACGTGTCTTTAGTACTTTCATCTCTTCTAGGAGATTCTTCGGACTGTTTGAAGAATCTCCTAGAAGAGATGAAAGTATTAAAANGGATTAAATGTCCATGTGAAGGAAGTAAATATAGAAAAAATAAGATTAACGACCGACTAAAAAACTAGCTGCTTTCACTACTAAGGGTGAAAGCAGCTAGTTTTTTAGTCGGTCGTTAATCTTATTTTTTCTATATTTACTTCCTTCACATGGACATTTAATCCCTTTTTATTATATATATATATATATAATTATCTAATAACTATATGAAAGGCGCTGAAATCTTTGATTAAAGATGCTGCCCTGTCATATTTCTTTGCTATGTATCTTTCGATAGTGTATGCTGTTTTCAGTTTACTGATTAGAGTAGGTAGGTTAAGCTCTTTGCAGAAACACTTTTGACAATATATGTAGTGTTTCATATTTAGAATTATGACATTTTCTGCCCTGTTATTCAGGTTTTGATGTTGTGTTATTTTCCCAAAAATAAAATCTTTTTTACATATATTTTAAAAGTCACATTACAAGTAGTTTGGATCCAAATTTGGAAAGCAAGAATACAATTTTGGACTTTATTACATTCCCATAGTACATGCTGAATAGTTTCTTCTTCTATGAAGCAAAAATTACACATATTAATCTTATATTAACCAAATTAATCTTTTTCAAAAAGGTGTTTGTAACTAAAATGTGATGATTAATTCTAAATTGCAGCCATTGTAATTTTGAATTTGTATTAGTGTCAAAAGGTAGTTTGTATATTTTCTTCCAATCCTCACTTGGTATATTTCCAAATACATTTTCCCACTTTATTTGACCTGTAGGCACTACACTATTTTTGTTCAGCACATTGTATATATCCTTTGTACCTTTTTATGTTTGATAATTATATTAATATACAGTGGTATCAATGGTAGTGAAAGCTTTTTCTCAAAAGTCCAGCCTAATTTTCTTATTGCAAAAATGAGACCATTATAATCAATAAAGTTAGTATTTAAATTAAAAATATCATTTAACTCATTATGTTGAAGGAAACTGCCATCTTCCTTAATTAGATCATTTATGAAAAACACAAAAGGTCATTTTATTAATGACAAATAGAAATTGTGACAATTTTAGTTCACAATTTTTGAAAACGAGATGAATAATAAACTAATATGAAGTACAATGATTATTTTTATACATGAATTATTGAATAGCCTATGCATATATACAATGCCATTATATATCATATACATAATTGATCATGATTATAAATATGCAAGCTCTTCCAAAATCACCTATTATACACGAGTATACACTTAAATGAATTATAGACATGCATACGTTTACAAGTAAATAAACGATTACCGCTGTCAGTATAATGTGACCGGGCGGAATGCTGTGCTGGGTGACCTCGGCATTGCATTTAAGAAATATAGCACTATAAAGTCGGCATCAGATCCGTGTTATCACTAGGAGGCAAATTCACCAACACATCTTGCACACACACACACACACACACACACACACACACACACGCAAGTACACGTACATAACACACACGGAGGCACGTCCCGAAATGACCTTAGCTGTTGATAGGACGTTAAACAAAATAAAACCAAAACCAGACCATTAAAATATTGGTAAGGAATTATGTGTCATAATTATTCCTTATTTATATACTATGCACATGTCAACGAATTTGGCTCTATCTTTCGATGCACGCATGTACCTACCAACGTAACGACGCACTTGTATGGTGGTCGGGTCGCGCAGTGGATAACACACTCTCCTTTCACCAAGGCGATCGGGGTTCGATTTCCCGATTGGACTTGAAAAAGTATGAGTTCACCTACACGACCACGAGAGTTTTGTCCGGGTACTCCGGTTTCCTCCCAAATTAGGACCCAAGCGCGCTAGCATCCGGGCCACCTAGAGTGATTGTTACAAGTTGTAAAATAAAGTTTATATATGTAACGTAACACGATGGTAGTGGTGTTATTATTATAAACAATACAAACAATTGACTGTTTTACCTATTTCTTTTAAATTATTTCCTTGTTAAAGTCATAAAATATCTTGTTATATTGTTTCATAATGTCAAAATAACAAACAAAAAATTATTCGATCGTCTGGTCACGTCCCTTTGATAGTTCTGCACTGTGTAACAAGACGAACACCACAAAGTAATATTCGATGTTCTAGGCGGCCACTATGACCTGTAATAGACACCGGTATGAATGAAATACATTGTAAACAAAGGAACTGTGTTAAGGAAGGCAACAATAAAGATCAGGAAAGTTTCAAGAAAAACCAATAATTACACACTCAATAGTCATGTCTAATCTCCGGTTAGTTGTTTTGTAGAGACAAAAAAGTTACCACGTATAAAATAAATTTTAGACGATATAATTCCATTAGGTCGGATATGAAAGAATAACACTGTTTTCAAATTATGACAGTCGTGTACTTAATCGAAAGGTGTGATATAAAAAAAGTTTATTTACATTACACTTGAATAGTTATTTTTAAGTGTCAAGTCGACATCTTAATGGGAAAACGATCAATGTCACTAGTTGTAAAGATGAAAATGTTCATAGGGATTTTCTACAGGAAGGATTACATTTGCATATTATTTTTATTTTGCGATTTTTGCAGTGCGGTGAAACAGTAATTTTGTTATAAGACGTATAAGATGTAAGACGATGATGAACAAGGTAGACTACAGAAATGATCAATAATCTCAAAACATGATGCATTACTTCATAAACATAAAAAAGTACAGAAATTAAAGAAAATTTTCGCTCCAGTATCTAATAGGTTTACTACACATCTATATTAATTGAATAAAACTCCTAGAGCAGAATCCTTACTAATAACCAAATCTAAGGACAAGCAATCAAATAGACTGATCAGACACCATAAACATATGGAAAACGCCATAAACCCCCACAGGTAAGCGTTTCCTACAGCACATGTAGAGCTTATATCTCGTCAAATGAAATAAAGTATATCGGTCACAAAAGATTTGACAACACTGAAATAGTATATTTGCATAGCACATTATGGTATCGACTGTTTTATTTCCTGAGCGTAGATCTAAGCATCTCATATAGAAAAAATACAATGAAATATACCTTATCTCTTAAAAAATACAGATACACAAGACTTTGAAGTGGCGAATTTAAATCTACACGTAAACTCCATAAAAAAAGGAGACACATATTTGAATAGTGAGAAAAGAAAGTAAACGAACGTGAGCTTAAAAATCGCCACTTTTGTCATATAGTCAATTATTGCTCAAAATTGCAAGTTCTGAAATTAGCAAGATTGAAGTAGTGATAATTTCTGTAACACTAATAGAAAAACATAATTGACCGGATCTGTGAAAAAGAATATCATTTATTTGACTGAAGGCTATAGGAAGCAGTTTAATGTTTCATTAACGCTAACGGTGTTTGGTGTACCGTACATTTTTGTTTGTTAATAGCATTGAACGAATTTTGTATATAGTTGCTCATTCATATTGACTCCATCAAAATCACCTGAAATGAGTTTCAGGTAATTAACGCTAACGGTATTTTATGTTACGTCTATTGATATGTCATATTTGAACAGAATATAATGATGTTATATAATTATTGATATAAGGCATGCTATCTAATGGTTGAAATAAACCAATAGTTTTAAATGAATACACTCTCACTCACACATGTAATTGCACCGTTACAATTTTGTAATAGATGCAGTAAGCCAAAAATATTACACTGCATCATACAGCTGTTTTGCCCTTCTAAAACTCATCGGTGATGCTAGGGGCTAGAAAGTTGGAGTGTATATCATGTCAACCTTTTATCACAGACGGTCTGATTTCTAAATTAAAAAATACCAAATATAAACCATACATATGTGTGTAAGTATCAGCTTATTAAATGCTACCTGTTAGCTACATATGGACTACCGTATGAACCCACTGAAACACACTACTTAATGTACATGTATATCCATGTGTATATAAACACTGCGTGGGCTGGCGTCCATACTTTCTACCCGGAGCTACGTCTCGTTCAGTCTGTTGTAGACAGGAATTAAACATGGCCAACGACAGGCAGTACCACCTCAAATTTGACGGCAAAAACGCGGCATCTGTAGACCAATATCTAGAATATTCAAGGTAAGTATACTATAGCTAAAGGTTACCACAATGATAGATATACGTCGGTTGTTATGTCCGTTTCCTTGAAGAGCCATTTATAAACAAGTCGTGCATGATTGCACGCGTAGCGGTTTACTTTCATTATAGTCTGTATTATTCGATCGCATGCCATAGTGTTGTGAATGAATGGTAAAGAGAACAGAGCCCAGTTGTTCCGTCTTTAATTAAAACAGTTGATAGATCTAAGGAAGTATTGTACATGCCGTGTCAATATTTAATCGGTTGAAGTTTCAGTTGATATGCACCTCATTTAAATATTACATGTCTGTACAAATCCTATATGTAAATATCTACCATTGGACCGTTGTGTACACACATCGGAAGTCGTAAACATACTCAAAAGCATTACTCGTACAACATTTTCATTAAAACCCCATGGCTTGGGTCTACCAGTACATGACACACAGACACAACGTAACTATAATTAATGGACATTGTTATGTAAAAACTGTAATCCCCCTCTTATCCGAGTATCGATAGGAGGGATGAGAAAGATTTTCCGAAATGAACCCGAAGGCTGGATAGTGATGAACAGGCCGTGTCACGCACCTATAGGCTGACTTAGTGCAATGTTAACCTAAACTGAAAATATTCGATGATATTAACACAAGGTAACAAATGGATGTCATTTATAGACATCTTTATCGCGGGGTTCGGCAAAATGTCAAACCTGTGATATTCTCCTTACCATTAGATATATACTTGTGTATCAACTAACGTGTCGTAACGTCGACCGATATAAATAGCAGACGAGGTTTTAAATCTCAGGTAAGCGTATTGGCATATATCAATCCATATAGATAAGAAAAAAAGAACTAACGGCAACGCCCTTTACAAGTTGTCAACACAAACATTGAAAAACATGCTGATCAATTGATGGAAAACGTATTGACGCAGTAAAAGGACAGGAACTTTGCATTTTGTCAGTTAATTTAAAGAAATGTTTGTGAGTTCAATCCACATGCAGTAAAACTTTGATATAATGCCCCTCGTTTAATTTGCCACCTCATTTACCGCCAACATATTTATCGGTCCCTTTCTTCTCTTTTTACTTAAGAATTTCTTTCTACATTTCCCTAATTTTATCGCCAAACCCCTTTATAACGTCATTTTTTCCGACTAAATAATGGCAGAATAACGAGATTCTATTGTACTTTACTTCATATAAAATATATCTACGTTGTGCAGTAGAAAATTCCATACTACAAATGTAGCAATTTGTTAAATAATAATGTGGATTATTTTTCATAATTTCTCACTCGTTTAGAAGATTTTGTTGGACATCCATTGGGTATAGAAAATGTTATTTTTTTTTTAGATTCGACGATATATGTAAATATATTACTATCCCATCACAGGCCGTTTATAAATATTGACTCCACTCCCTCTGTTGTGGTTGCTGTAGCTATTACAGTCATGACGTTATCTCAACTTACATATGTCGTTTAAATTATACACATTGTACATTATGTACGCCTGGACTTGTCTTCCAGAAACACGTCATGCTGGATTAAGAAAGTACAATTTAAAAGGACACGTATACGGTACATACACTATAGGCTGTTAAAACATGTTGGAAATCTCTCAGGCATCATGCAAAAGTAAAATATACTCTTTACGACTGATAATGCGTATACATGTATTAAAATCAATTTGTAAATATCAAGAGAGGCTTTATATATGAAATATAAATCAACACAACAAAGTCGATCTCATAAATGAAATGAAAATCGAAATGAATACAGGGTTACTTCCCAACTTATGATTCATCGCTTAGACCACATGTACAGTATATAAGGCCAGACAGTGTATTTGTTTATCCGGCGATACCCAACCTGTAATGTTTATAATACAAGGAGAAACAGCTCTCCCAATCATTAATGTTTTACCTGATTCGTTTGATGTATACACAGGATTAACGGTGACATATTTATTACACAAAATAAATAAACTTATTTCCGATTGTCCGGTTTACCGTACAGTTAACTCACAGATGATTTTATAGCCGAGCATTTCCAACATATACTATATACTAATACAGTAAACACGTATGTATTCTATCAACTACGCGTAGAAATAATTCACTACAGTCTTTATCGAATGTGACAAAGATTTATTCTTATCTATAACTGATTTTAAACTTGAAAAATGTCAAAGAAATTCACATGCAGCGGGAAACAGCAGGCGAATTATTGTTTACAAAACAGGGACAGTGAATATGTTTCTGCTTAAACAACTGTAGAATGTAAATCCTATAACACAACGCATAACTGAGATTTGTTTTCATGTTATCTACGTAACGAAAACATTAAACATAAAAATACCTTAAAGGCAACAAAACCATAATTCGAACCCAAAATCAATAGAACCAGATTCAAATAGAGAACCTTGAAAAGGTACAAGGAGAATAACACTAGGTGTTCCGGAGTAAGCGTATTTTACTTTAATTACAAATGAGTTTAAAACATTATATCTTCTTTGCACTAGATACAGATACAGAGAATGCACTTGTTAAAATATCGGTCATCTGTCATACTCATGAAATATACAGGTATATGATATTAAACAGGACAACAATTATACGGGTCGAAAATGTTACCGCATCAACATATCTGGGGGTATGAAAGCGTTATCTCAGGTGCCTTTATCTAATAACGCCATGCTTAACAACAATGCTGCGCGCCATTCTGAGTGTTCTTCTAAAACATTTCTACAAACTGTGTAAGTATATGAACACCTTGTAATACGTAGCAAAGACGTACCAACACAACCACTTTTTATACTAACATTTCATCTGTATACGGACAGAAAATTTTCGGCTTTGGATGAAGTGAATGGAAGGCACCGTTCTTATTGGTCAGTTCCAAATGTGACATTTTCACACAGTTGAAATGTCGCTTTTGATATCTGTCACAGTGTGAAAGATATCACTTTTATAAAGTTGATAATAAAGTAAAAAACATGAAACACAAAGCGGATGAATAACTTAAACGTTTTGTTTGTTATACCATTATTTCTTCTGTAACAGAATCGTAGGGGATGATGATGGAGGGAAGATGTTTACACCGGAGGAGTTCGAGGATTACAAAAAGAACGTTCTACCGAAGGTAAATATGAACTAATATAAAAATCAGTTGTTTGTTACTTATTTTCTCGATAGTATGTCCCCGACTTGGTGAATATTCCATTTTTTAAATATTCAAGATAGCTTTTATCTTTGCATCGATCATATCATACACAATGTAATGTAGATAGAAACTAACATGCATCACAATGTAGTCACGCAAAGTAAAAACTGTTCAGAAATTCGATAAAAAACCGCAAAAGAAGCAAGAGGAGCCCGAATTTAAAGGTCAAGAAAAAATAAACCCTTAAAAAAAAAGAACGAATCCTCCTATCGCCCAGCATTATAACGTCAAAAACGACAAGAGACTTGCAGAAGTGTCAACAAAATCGTAATTGAAACTCAAAAGCGATAAAAATAGTCAAAATTTGAAGAAAGATTTTTTTTTTACTGGAAGACCCTTGAAAAAGTACAACCAGAATAACACCAGGTGTTCCGGAGTGGTAGGCGTCGTCTGCTTCATCGACGTCACTGGCTTAGGTACATCTTGGTCAAATCCAAGTAAGGGCACGTCCTCATATCGGTAAATCGGGTAGCGACAACAAATAAACGAGGTACATGTACACTAATAAACATAATAAAATCATCGACTTTCATCTGCAAATCAATATATCGGGTTTCAGTTTCGAATCCCTTATTTTGTTCTTGGTTTGTTTTGTTGATAATTTCTTTCAATTTCATAAACAACTATTGATGATGTAATATATCCACAGCGGATGAAAAATCGACTGTACACCAGCTGGTCATCTCCTACAGGTATGGACTGTAAACTGATTGGACCGGAAACACCTTGTTTCTGTAAACACAGGTATGTTAATCGCCTCATCATTAGTCATTTCACTCCTCATTTGTAACGAATAATAAAGGGGTATTTTTTTCTCTTAACATAGCGTAAGGCTGTACCATGAATGCTAAATTCTATCATGGGAGCAATGTTTATATATATAGACTTTCTCTCAAGATTTCCGATTTATATTTTTTTCAAAGATGAATAAACATGAAGCTTAATATTGTATACTGTGACTTGTGGCTGTACATCAACAAGTGTTATGCTGATTTAATATATAATTATGATATTGAGTAAAAAGATATCTACAAAAATATGTGATAGAATTATTTAAGTAACTATAGCTCAGCAATGCTAACCGCCAACCTGCAATTCTTGCCAGTTATTAAGTCCCAATGATAGCATATATATCGTATAAATATGATATGTTATACATTATTTCTTAAATTTGATAAACATTCAGGCATTACCAACAATTTCAAAAAAATGATATTTTTTTATTTTATTATTATTTTTTCCAACTTACCAACGTTTCGAAAGCAAAAGACTTATAGAGCTGACAGGCTGACAAATCCATACTAATATATATATGAGGCTTGGAATCCAAATATTGGCAAAATTAAGTGCAGAGCACTTATCACCAAGATGTAACCTTTCACAACAGATCAATTACAAACAGTATTTGGTAATATAACATTGAAAATATAGAGTGTCGGGGTGTGAATCAGAGACCGACTTATCTCCAGCAAACAAAACGACTGCTTGCATTAACTAAAACCTGTAACTATTTACCATGCAGTCCACGTTACCGACGTCGATATTACATTATTTGAAATAACAATTAATCCATCTTGCACATTGGATTACATCGATTAATTACCTAATACCAAAACATCATTCTTTGCGAATGCTAATCTCTGACACCAAATTCGTAATAATCATGAGAAAGTGACAGTCATGTTTACAACTCATACACAAGCAGTTTTAAATTAATATCCTATTGACAAAATGGATTAAAATAATTATCTGTTCTCCAAATACAGGTATAAGCAGCATAAGACGGATTTTGATACAGTTCCCACGGAGCGGCCTATTATGTTGCCATGCCGACAGAAGGGATGCAAATGCGCCACGTACCATTACCTTCCGATGAATGGTAGTCAGCCGATCAGGTGTAGCACGTGCAAACACACTGCAGATGAACACTCGGAGGAACAGCCACGGCTCGTGTGCAAACGCAGTAAGTTGCAGATTAAGATAGGAAAGGGCATACTGGCATGCTTCGAAATATCTGTGTCCCGAATAATGACTCATTATTATTATGACGATTAAAAACAAAAAATCAAAAAGATAAATCAACAGTAACAACCAATGAGCCTTTCTCAAAACACTACTGTTAAATCAGATGTTTTTGATAGAGTCCAAATTTCGTGGTTTTCCAAAACCCCTATTCCGTGCGTACAGATATTTATGGATTATTAGTACCCACAAAACTGGCAGTTTACCATTATACTGTCAAACACGTTATTTCTTCGCGAACAAATGAGTTCGTTGATTGATAAGAGTATTGACGGAATCGATGTTATGTAATACCGCCAACGAACTATATTGAGTGATTTCACAGTAAATTACCATACCTTTTACATGCTTACTTTACGACCGGAAACAATGCATATTTATTGCATAGAATAATGTTACAATATTAATCTAAATACATGGATAGATGTAGTTAATATCTAAATAACTTATTCCGTGTATCATAGTATAAACTTAAATTCAACCTGATCTCGTTACCATTATATAAGGAGGATGCAGCAAATGTACCGGCTTTACAAGCTCCTTCTCTTGCGCATGCGGAGCGGTGCTAAAACAGCACAAAATGATCGTAGAAACAGCGGAGGAGAGGGAGGCGAGAGGACATCCCCTGGGGGAGGCCACACCTTATGCAGCCATGGGCGGGATCACTGGCTTTTCTTCTATGGCTGAAGGCTACATGCGTCTGGACCCAAGCGGTAGAGGTGAGGAATAAAATAACATGATGTTAACTGGCAAGCATACTGTAAAATCGATTTTTTTTTTGCGGTGAAGAAATGCTCGAGACTTTTCGCATTTAGTATATCAAAAATATTCAAACGCGTATACTAAACACAAACTCTTAGTACGTAGACGATGTGCATTGTAAAGATTCCCAAAGCGAACATTTCCACTCGCGAAAATGTCTATTTTTACAGTAACATCCGTACTATAATTCAACCATCAACTATGTTACAACTTAAATACATAATATACTTAAAAGTCAATTAAGTATCACTTATATGTGTGAGTGAAACAGAATTAGCAGAATTAAAAAAAAGTGTTACAGCAAATTACAATTTAAAAGTGAAAAATCTCGCGTGTTGAACTGTTCGCCATGTTGCTCTTTCACGGTGTGGAATTTTTGTATTGGCATTGTTCTTAAATCAATATATCCGGTGTGTTAATAATCTATGCAATCTCTTTATATACATTGGCATGTGGATATTTTATATTAAACCAACGCGAATATTTCCACATCGCGATACTTTCCACATCTACAGTATCATTTAAAATGTGTATGTATCCAATTGTAATGAAGTCACATTGTCAAGTTACAAGTATCTCTAATGTTCTTTGATAAGGCACATCGTCAAACAAACAGTCCTTGAGTTAATGAGAACAAGAACGGAATAACAACAGCAAGAACAAGTAACAAATCAACTGAAATTTGCTTTCACAATTGTTTAGTTAAGTTTGATTGGTCATTGCTTTTTTTCATTGGTGATCCGCTATATTAACTCTTATATAACATTTTACACAGGTGCGCCATCTAAGGGTTACCTAGAACAGTCGATCACGTCAGCTGACAACCCTTACCTTCGTTCTAACGTACAGGCCATCAAATCTCACCAGATGAGGAAGAAAGAGACAGGTGAGCAAGACTAGCTACATAGTTTGAGAAAAAGATAATACTCATTCAACTGATGAGAGGACTAAACACCTCTCATAATATATATTTAAATACACAGATTACATTTATATATGTAATATAGATTACATACATGTATATCCTATAAATTACACACTGGTGTATGCTCAATTACTGTAATAAATACATAGACAAAAAAGTCTGTTCACGAAATCTCTTTTCTTTTATTGTAAAATATTGGTAACTGTATACATTCGCAGACTGTTGACACATCTACTGTAAAGATTCAATCGTGGTGTATGTTTGCGTGTTACGTCTATTTTTGTTTTACTGTAATACCAGAACTACAAGAAAAACGGCTGTTTATGGAATCTTATCTTTTATTGGAAAAAAAACACACCCATATTATCCTCAAGAATTCTCAAAACACAACTCATGTACGTAAAAAAGATTTACAGTCATGCTAACTGAAGAGCGATGTCGAGACAAAATCTGTTGATAGATTGACATGTAGACTCATGCTTTCACGGGCTAATGCAAAATAGCATACATGTAGGTAAAGAAATGTATACCCATGCCACCCACGGCTTAATATCAGGACAATCACGACAGCATAATATGCCAGGGGGGTCAAATTAACGTTCAGATAGAAAATCAGCAGCAAAAATCAAATAGGTCTCAATACACACAATTTTCCCGTCTTGTAGGTTTGACAGGGCCGGAAGACGAAATATTTGACGACATTACGGAGCGAGTGTCTCAGATGAGGCGTCCAGGAGAGGAGGACATGGAATACTACGAGCGGCGACACCTAGAACGGGTACACTTATTAACACATCTGTTTCCCTTATTGAGTATTAATGTATGGAAGTTTTCGAATAGATATTTTACTTCTTCGCATTTGTAGTGTGTTTTTTTTTAACCAAAAACACATGATTAGACGTTTTACTTTAAATGGACATTCTTTGTTATTGCAGCAAAAGCACGCAGAGACAGGTAGGGGGCAGACATTACATGCCAACCAGCTCAAGGCAGGGTCGCGGAAGGCCATAGAGGACAAACCGTCGTCTGGACGTCCCAAGTCCAAGAAATAGACTCCAGCGAGGATTGATTAAGGGGAGATAATCCGTGCCTAATTGAACAGAATCCATGACAAACGATGCAAGAACAAGTTAATACTTGGATTGAGTTTAATATGCCAATGGCAACGGTCTCAAACCTGTGTATTTCAGATGCATTTAAATGGTGCTTTGATTGTATTGATTCATCCGTCCCGTTTGCAATTACATTTATTATATTTGCCTTCGTGTCATCTGTCTTGTTGCTCCTCGCCTGCCTATCCTGTCTGCAAGTTGTTTTGCTATTCCGTCTTTGCATATTGCAGAGTTATCTTCTCTTGTGAGCAGGTATTGATTGTTACGTCATTGGTTTGTGTGAAAAAATTACGTCGTTTTCTCAAATATTGATGACGTTACTCTCACAAACCAATGACGTAACAATCAATACCTGCTCACAAGAGAAGATAACTCTGCAATATGCAAAGATGGAATAGGAATTTGATTAAGAATTTTGATATATCTAAAAATGAAATATGGTACATTTGTATTTGCATGTACCTATACTTAGTTTGAAATGTAGATCAGGACCTTTTTAATCGATGTGATGTCATTTTAAAATGTGGTATGTATTAGTCTTTTGCACAAATTGTATATGAAATAACTGAGTTTTATAATAACAATCCGCCGTATTCCATGTATACATACTAGTATGTCCTCATCAAGGATGGTTTTCATATTATCACATATATATTTTTAGAATGAAATACGGTTGTACAACTTTTGTCTCAGATTTATTAGGTACGATAATTTTATCAATTATAAAAAAATAATGCGTCCTTGTCAAGTAGGAAAGAAATAAAGTGAATCTTTTAATATCCAGCCACCCTCGCTCACAGCAAACAATCTAGCTACCCTCGTTTCAAGCAAACAATCTAGCTACCTTCGTTCCCAGCAAACAATCTAGCTACCTTCGTTCCCAGCAAATAATCAAACTATCCTGGTTCGAAGAAAACAAACCTAGCAATCCTCGTTCCGATCAAAAATGGTTTTACTATAACGCGGCCGGAATATTGTGACACCTTTATTGATAAAGAAATACCAATGTCAATGAGTCGAAACAAATAGAAGAAAAAAAATTAAAAATCAAATTAAAAAAGGATGGTTTTACATCCAGATAAGAGGTGGATTGAATAATGACTCTTAACTTTGTTATTTTCTGTTTAAACTATTGAGTTGTACGTCTCGATTGTGTTGTTGTAATATACATTTAATTGTGATACATTTAATTGTGATACATCTAATTGTGTGATACATCTAATTGTGATAGATTTAGTTGTGATACATCTAATTGTGATAGATTTAGTTGTGATATATTTGGTCATGATATATTATACAGATATGTATGGGTTTACACCGTTTTGCGATTTACATCGTTTTCTATGGATGCACATGTAAAGTATTTTGTATAACCATTTATTACCACGCAGAAACTTTCATCAAATATTTTATAAAAAAAACTATCTATCGCTTCAATTGTTTGTTGTTAGCTATATAATATAAATTTGTCCGTGTACAACACAACAACAGAAATGGTTCGTAATATTCATTGTATTAGTTTTCGATTTCGGACGTTATTATTTCTACATTAATGTGGTAACACGTGCACACTAATTGAAGAATTGAAGTCTCTGTTTCTGTGTTGATAGGGCTGCTGTGTAGAATCAATTAATAACGCTACTCGATTCTCTTACACACTGTCGAGTGTTACAAAGTGGCATGGTTCCTAATATACACTCCTGCCTCATTATCATTATTTGAAATAAACTTGTATTCATCTTGCTTTTGAAATTCATAAAAGTAAGGTGGTTTACACACCTGCCATTCTGTTTCAACAATAGTTTAGACTGTTTGGATTTCCACAGTTTCCGCCCCTGGCATCATAGATGAGTCCTCGAAGGATGAAACAGCTGTACGGTGTAGTTTGCTTTATGTTTGGCTTGCTGTATATCTATTACCAACTCTTAACACTGCAGTCCCATGTATGTGTTTTATGTTCATCATACAACTTTCCGTCAAACTTATTTTGATCAATGTAATCAGCTTATTTGTCATCTGGGTAGTACCAAGGTATATTTCATGTATTAATAACTTTTAGAATGATCACTATAAGATAAATACAATCAATGTCAAAACATCTCTATAGAAGTCACTTTAAAAATGATCTTATTTGGAAGAGTTGCTTAAAGTGCGATGATATTATGACCAGAACAACTTTAACGTTTAGGAAAATACAACTTTTTAATGACGAAACATTAAACAAACATACCAGGAAATATATAAATAGACTGGGACATACAATCAATGTAGGGAGTTACTGGACTTCTGTCTCGATCTAGTGATTACAACAATACTGGACTTCTGTCTCGATCTAGTGATTACAACAATACTGGACTTCTGTCTCGATCTAGTGATTACAACAATAGACCAGTGTGTCATTCTAAGGCAACAGTTCGATGTTACAAGAACTCAAAACATGTCAATAATTTAGCCCTCTTACTAGCTAAATGATAGAGGAACGTTTGTACAATTTATATGTAGCTCAACTATAGATTAGTACTTGCTGACATTTGGATGTGTATTGAATATCTAAACGTATGTCAGTAGGTAAGTCTTAGGAGACAATTTTATTATAAAGAGATTCAAAATAATATGCTAGAAAAATTGATCCTGACAACAGTTCCATAACGTGTAGTTACAGTGTAATAGATTCGATTTTGGCGATAGTTCGATGCCCCATAGAGTCCTAAAGGTTGTGAATGAGTTAGTCTTAGGTGACAATTAAATTATATAGGGACTCCTAGACATATACCAGTATGCCAGTCCTTAAAATAGTAACACATCATGGATACTTATACATATACATGACAGAAGGTAAGTCTTTGGCGACAGTACTAGGTCTGATGGGAACCCGTACGTAAGTTAGACGTTAGAAAAGTTCAATTATTTTCTTCAAGTACAGGCCTTGGACCAATCAGAAGTCGTCGTCGAAATTCCAGGGATAACGCTCACTTCCGTTCTCTGAACCCATAAAATATCGAAGGTACGCTGCTAGCTATTTGATTGGTTTCAGGTACGAAATATTGACCAATAGCTAGGCTGATACCTGCCATTTCAAGATTACAGAGAAGCGACATCCGACTTCAAAACCAGTCAAAATATTTTACTGTTAAGCTATCGCGCAGTTCTTTCGATGTATATCAAAGGATCAAACTAGTCTAACTTGAATCATCCACCAGGTGGCGCGTACAAAGTCTTCGGTTTTGTCATGATATATTGTCCCGCGGTGAAGGACGTAAGTGAGAGTAGCCCCTGGAATTTCGAGACTGTCATTAATTTGATAATATCTTTACACATAATAGACAAATGTTTTAGGTTTAAGTGCACCTCATACTCGAAATCAAAAGGTCAAGCTCTCGATTCATAGTTCTTTACTGCAAACTTTGCATATGTCATACTATTTTTGAGTCTGTCAATTTTACCGTTATGTTGCCATTAAGTGTCTTTGATCTTCATCAAAGACATCAGACGAATCTATTCGTATCTTTGTTTTTCTTTTCTTTTTACTTGATTCGGTCTATATTAGACGTTCCTGTCTCTTGACCATCTTGAAATGTCTTCATTGGTTTGTTTTGGTTGCGCCGTTCCGTAATGTTTGGCTTTCTTTTACTATAGTTTGTAATTTGTAGTCATTAAGAGCTTTCTTTGTCCACCATAACTCTTCCAGATTCATTACACATTTTTTATTCCATATATTTTGCACGTTCCTAACTTTGATATTTATAGTTTAAAAAGAATTCTTCCAAATTCAATTTTTTCACACTTTTAAGAGTCTGTAAGTTTGCCCACATGTACATGTACATTGTAGGTTGGTTTTATCTTAGCTGGTAAGTCTCTCCAATGCCTATTCAACCTACTTTTGAATTAGTTAATGGTATCAATGTTCACAAGTTCCTCTGGCGGACTGTTTCACTCCTTGGTTATATATAATTACTCTCACATTGAAGTGAGTTCCAAAATTTAGTCTAAATTGTGTGGATTTGTTTCCATTTTGAGATTATGTCCCCTGGTTCTATGGTAGGTTTCCGTGACAAAAAAATCCATCTTTCTCAAGTTTCTCGATTCTTTTTACTATTCTTTCATCCGAAAGGGGTCGCGTATAGAGATTTCCATTTTGTCATGACACATATATTAGGGGTGCAGAGAAGATAAGTGTATCGACAGCGAAACATATAGATTTCAAGAATGGGTGTTCCTACACGAACATTATGTATATATCAGTTGTTAGTATTTGGTATCATAGAAATGCCATATAGTCCATTTCTACAAGAGCTTATGGCCGGTCATGTTAGAGATATCTGGCGTCAGAAGAAACTCGACAGGTACTTATTCTAACACCACGATAATCACAGGTAAAACATTATACTTCAGACATCTTACGACAACGGGTATTTTATCAGGGCCAAGTTATTTTCTTTTGGAAATGTGGAACATCACACAGCGACGAATAACGGGTTATATAGCCGACAATAATGACAATTAATGGCCTGAAGGAATAGAATAAAGCTACAGTAACAATTGTCTTTATAAAAAGTAAATTGAAGTAAGATGTTTTTAATGGAATTTTGTTTTTAAACAATGTAAATTCATGTATAGGGTTTAGCTTCCGACTAAAAACTGAGGTCATTTAAGGACCTGCATCAATGTGTGTAATATATGCGTAAATGCTGGAGGCAGTATTGCCTCTCGGATCTGATGGCGAATTTAGAGAACTACAAAGTGTTTAGACATTATTGTCTTTGATTTCGAACACTTACTTACACCGGTAAATGTGATGAGTGTTTTAAGTGCGTTTAAATTTAACCCATTTGTTGTTAAATTTGCAATGTAATTATGATATAACGTCACAGATGATTTTTAGGCTTTCATGTTTATTTTTCACTTTTGTAGAACAGTTAATTTCCTATGTAATCTCAACTGACATTACATACCTTCCCAAATATCCCCTGTTTTATCAATTTGTTACATTTGCAGTTGAAATTACATTTCACGTTTAAATGTACTTGTAGTAAAATTGAAGAAAAAATTAACATTTTGGAAGTAATTTATAACAGTTCTGGAAGAAATTACACAGCATACCCATCATCATATGCAATAAAATGGAGATACCTTTGGTGGCGTTTTTACATTTGATTGTACGATTCATCTTTTCTGTATACAAATAGTGTACAACATTTGTAGTGCGTCCTGTACATTTTGATTGAAATTACATTGTACATTAAGGCATTTCACAGCCACTGAAATACAAAATGAATAGGAATCTTACACCTTATTATTTCAGGTAGACTTGCAAATATTACAACAATGATGATTTTTTTCTGAACCATTATGCTGATGTAGATAATAATATTATGATGCTCTTGTGCTGAAATTTAACATTTACAAAACTTTTTTTTTTCAAAAATACAGGATTTTTAAAGAAAATTTTCGGGGTGGGAGGATTTCCTGAAGCCAACCCCCCCCCCTTTGGATCCGCCACTGAAGGACTATATAATTACCATATGTGTAATCAAATCAATCCTAAATATATAGATAAAGATCTGAGTGTCAATCAAAATGTCTGAGGTTAATACACGGAGCGTGATTCTCACTGTATGTATCTTGTCCGTGCCTTAGCTACAATACAATCCCTCACCTGGTCTGTTTTTACCTGTAACATCGATCACCGCTAAGCGCATTACACACACAGGTGAGAATTCTGCCGTACCGAGTTACCTCCCTCGAGAGCCGTTTTACACATAAAGGTTCGTTCTTACCTTACCTCCGTGTAAACAAAGCGATCGCCGGGCTCTCGACCGTAAACTGTCAGTACGGTTATGGAGGCTAGCACGTGCCTGTGTTGTCTATATGTGCATGTGTGTCATCCTTAAGTGCCAGAATGACGAGAAATCTACCCTTAATACCATCGTATGTTCACGGAAGGAGCCAGGAGAGGATGAAACCATAAAAGTAGAAGCGCGATTCACGCGTATAACAGGTCCACACTTGTGAAAATGGATTACTCTTTACACAGCGGTGTGGCTCTCTGTTAATTAACGTTAATGTGAAATGTTAAAATTTAATAACTATGAGTAGACGATGAAGTTTTCATTTGTCACCGGTCGAAATATTTGAGACGGAACATGTATTTATTGGTCACTCTAACTGTCCTTATGCAGCTGTTACCTGCAGGGATTACTGCGCAGTCAACCGTTGCGGACTTATCGGGTGAGTATTATTATACGTACGATAATACATTCTTAAAGTGTTCAAAACTTCATGTACTACTGTATTTAGTCTTGAGTACCCATGCTTTAGGATAGTAAATATTCAAACATTCGTAACCGAACTACACCATACATATGTACACAGACTGTACACAGTGTTGTTAGTGTTTCAATTTAAATGTGACCTACATGTATCTATTTGAAAAAAAAGTGTTTAGTTTGTCTGATTGCTTTGTCGATTTAAATGCGACCTATCTATTTGAAATAACAAAGTGTTTACCCTCTAGACATATTACTAGCTATAATAAAAAAAAATATGTGACAGTGTATATATTATAATACTTTGTTATATCTTTATACGTGTAAACATGTGTTTACCCCTATAGAAATATTACTAGTTAAAATAATAATTTCCATTAAAGTGTATACAATACGTTGTTAATAGCTGAATACATGTACTTATAGTTATTCTTTTAATTATTCGTTGTAAAATGGAAAGACCTACAAAACGATTTTGGTTTATCATTTTCTTGACTTAATTTAGTACTTTTGATGGTTTTAATATTTCCCAGCAATTGATTACTAAACTACTTTGTCTGCAGATAAAAATGCTTGTTGGAGAAATGTTCAAATGAGAAATGTGAAAAGTAAATAATATCCTTAAAATGAAATATAATCTATATATAAAGTATGAAATAGTATTTACATCTTCATGTATGAATGGCTAACTTTACCTATAAATAAAATTTAGAATTGCTTAAAACAATTATGTCTCATCTCTCTACTTAATAACAGAATTAAACACTGCATGTTTTACCTAACACACTTCGATTTAGATGTACATTAGTTAAAACATTAGTTGCCAGAAAGTTTGAACAAGGAATAAGGCACAAGATTTATAATGTATCTTAACCTTCTCTTGTACAGTGTAATAGTCCTTTGAAAAAAAGAGAGAGAAAAAACAAAGTCCCCCCCCCCCGCAAAAAAAAACCCAGACGAGAAATAAATAAATAATAAATAATAAAAAACAAAACAAGAAAAAATAAAGTAAAATGAAAAATACAACAAGATTAAAAAAAAAAAAATTGAAACAACAGAGTATAGAGCGCTAAGAAATACTTATATTTGTGTTTACTTGTGTGGTAATGTAAACTGTAACACAAGCTAAGTCAATTACCACAGGGTGTGTACGATTTACAGTGTATGGTCAATACGTATAGCAGTGATCATAACTGTGATACATACTGTAACATATCTACCTCTACGTAACACCACAGATGGTCTTCCCACACACACAACGTGTTTCCAAGGTAGTCATTCTTTACATCTTAACCCAGGCCAAGTTATATACAAAAACTTGTTAGCTTAACCAGATCTCAAAAATAGGTTATTAAACCAGGGATGTGTAGTGGTCCACTACACATCCCTGATTAAACCTATAATTTTACTTTACGCCGGCTGTCTCCTCCAAATAAATGGGAAATATTCACATCTATATAAAATGCAGCACATTTAATACGAAAAAAATCAAATTTTACCTACAGTTTTAAAAATATGTTTAAAATATCAGAGATTAAAGATGGTTTTAAGCTAACAATGCGTGTAAATCTAGATGCAGAATATCCATCCCAGTGTGTCATAAAAACCGAAACTCCTCCAGAAAATAACACGTAAATAATTCATTTCCAATCTACCTTGGGCATGATAATGTGGACTGGAGGACGAAGGCTACCCGACATTCACCGGAATTAGTGGCTTACCAGTCGTAGGCTCCTGGTTTCATCACTTCGTGATTCTTTTGGGACCTAAACCTCGCACTGACTTTTGAAACAAACGTACAGTCTGGTACATTACTACCCTCAGTTTTAATTATAATTTCGTTATCTTAAAAAAGGCTGACAGATATAAGGTCAATTATCCAAGAAAACTTGATACACCATATAGATAAAAAGGGGCCTGGCTGTAATTTGAAAACGGATGTTATTTCGTTTTGAATTGTTATCCCAGTTAAATATTTAATTTTAAATAGTCTTCAATATATTAGACTGAATATTTCAGACTTCACATAATAACATTCCAGTGTCAAATTTCACAGGAACATGCATATCATTCTGTGTGAATGATGCTACAAGGAGGAAATGTGCCTACTCTATAATGTTTTGAAGCGAATATAAACTACGAACCTAAACGACCGTATAACTTACGGTTCTCTTTGCGCTGTTTACGGCGCTGTCTCTGTATTGTGTATTGTACACAGGCATAATATATGATTGTATATCGAAGGCCGTGATGCCTCAAGTAAATAAATGAAATGAATTGACTATTGGATGTTGAGTGAAAAAAGCAAAGACAGAAAAGAGAATATTTTTCGTTGTATTTTGTTTTCTGATTTCTAAACATTTTCTTCGGGTTGGTATTACAGTATGGATTGTAGTAAGGATCATATATACGGTCAGTAAGTATGGATTGTAGTAAGGATCATATATACGGTCAGTAAGTCTGGATTGTAGTAAGGATCATATATACGGTCAGTAAGCATGGATTGTAGTAAGGATCATATATACGGTCAGTAAGTTTTGATTGTAGTAAGGATCATATATACGGTCAGTAAGTATGGATTGTCGTAAGGATCATATATACGGTCAGTAAGTATGGATTGTCGTAAGGATCATATATACGGTCAGTAAGTATGGATTGTAGTAAGGATCATATATACGGTCAGTGAGTTTGGATTGTAGTAAGGATAATATATACGGTCAGTGAGTATGGATTGTAGTAAGGATCATATATACGGTCAGTAAGTTTTGATTGTAGTAAGGATCATATATACGGTCAGTAAGTTTTGATTGTAGTAAGGATCATATATACGGTCAGTAAGTTTTGATTGTAGTAAGGATCATATATACGGTCAGTAAGTTTTGATTGTAGTAAGGATCATATATACGGTCAGTAAGTTTTGATTGTAGTAAGGATCATATATACGGTCAGTAAGCATGGATTGTAGTAAGGATCATATATACGGTCAGTAAGTTTTGATTGTAGTAAGGATCATATATACGGTCAGTAAGTTTTGATTGTAGTAAGGATCATATATACGGTCAGTAAGTATGGATTGTAGTAAGGATCATATATACGGTCAGTAAGTTTTGATTGTAGTAAGGATCATATATACGGTCAGTAAGTTTTGATTGTAGTAAGGATCATATATACGGTCAGTAAGTTTTGATTGTAGTAAGGATCATATATACGGTCAGTAAGCATGGATTGTAGTAAGGATCATATATACGGTCAGTGAGTATGGATTGTCGTAAGGATCATATATACGGTCAGTAAGTATGGATTGTAGTAAGGATCATATATACGGCCAGTAAGTATGGATTGTAGTAAGGATCATATATACGGTCAGTAAGTTTGTGCTTCAGTGCTTTCTACAGTACATTGAACTATAGATAAACTATTTTTTTGTGTAGTTTATTAAATCGTTTCAAAATCGTTTAGGCGTATACTTGTACTGATTTCTACCTTTAATTTTTATCGCTTGTCATATTTCAGAGTCTCTGAAACGGCATATGATTCTAAAATGAAATTTTCAAATGATTAAGAGAACGCAAGAACAACCCAGATCCTAAAGAGGTAGATTTAAACACTGGAATGTTCAGTAATAAGAACAGATGTGTTCAGTATGAGTATTTCGTACTTGTTTATATCAGACTATATCGGTGAACACAGTGCATATTGTTGATGTACTTCAAACGGGCCTACCTAGGAGGTCCCCAAAATTAGACAAGTCAGTGATAATGAAACTACAGGACAGGCACAGTTATGAAACGAATGACTGCATTTCCTGGATATCCGAATTATACGGGGATATTTAGGTTAAAGAAATTCACGACATCTTATACACTTATAAGCTAATGTATTAATGTAACTTTGGTTGTGTTTTAACGGCGTTGAATGTCTTCGCATTCAGTTGTAGGTATATGTCTTTAATGTAAGGTGTAGGTATGTCTTCAATGTAAGGTGTAGGTATGTCTACAATGTAAGGTGTATGTACATTTTGTATGTCTTAAATGTAAGGTGTAGGTATGTCTACAATGTAAGGTGTAGGTATGTCTTAAATGTAAGGTGTAGGTATGTCTCCAGTGTAAGGTGTAGGTATGTCTCCAGTGTAAGGTGTAGGTATGTCTTAAATGTAAGGTATAGGTATGTCTCCAGTGTAAGGTGAAGGTATGTTTCCAGCGTAAGGTGTAGGTATGTGTTCAATGTAAGGTATAGGTATGTCTCCAAAGGAAGGTGTAGGTATGTCTTCAATGTAAGGTGTACGTATGTCTTCAATGTAAGTTATAGGTATGTCTTCAATGTTAGGTGTAGGCATTTCTTAAATGTAAGGCGTAGGTATGTGTTCAATGTAAGTTATAGGTATGTCTTCAAAGGAAGGTGTAGGTATGTCTTCAATGTAAGGTATACAGGCGCGTAGCTAGCCCCTTTACCATGTGTAAGCCCCGATATGGGGTTGCCGAAGGCAGCCCCCCCCCCGAAGCGCGTAGCGCGAGCAGGGGGAGGGTACGGGAGTGGGTCTTCCCCCTCCCGTAAGGGGGGTCTGAGGGGTCTCCCCCATGAAAATTTTGTTTTCTAGAACGTCTCAGGAGCCATTTCCTACGTCCTGATGTCTGAGATAATGATATGTTGTAAACTATAATATAGTTTTAAAAAAGGGGCCGGACTTGCCCCGGTCTCCCCTACACATGTATAATACATGTGTAGGGGGGGGACCGGGGCAAACACGACCCCTTTTCTTTTTTCAAGATGTTATGGAAGGCATGTACTATACTGTTGAAATGCATATTTATATATGTCATTTAGAAAAGAAATGTTTTGTCTTTCATAAACTTATAACCAAATCGTAAACAAGACCATATTTTGGGAATTATTGGACTTTTTAGGTCGAGAGAGTTGGGGGCCGGACGAGCCCCGCCCTGAGGTAAATCCGGCCCCTACCAG